CCCCTCTTTGAAAGACCCAGATCTGTATGGCTGGATGAGTGTCACTGATCTGAAGTTTTATTCAGAATCTGCAGTCTCTGATTCTGATAGTGGGATAGAATATATCCATCACTAAGAATTATGCTCAGTAGACAATATTTGGTATGCTGTGGGTTTTCTGTCTCAATATCTTTATGCATAATTTCTGTATCGCAGAAGTCATTTTTTCACATACAGGCGTATATTATAAGATTTGTCGCATGGTGCCTCTATTGATGTGGACTTCTTTAAAAATAAACATGGTTTCAAAAGAGAACATGCCTGGTAGGGTGCATATTTCTCCTCCATGAATGATCTAATCAGCACAGAGAAGTTGCTACCCAAAAAGCTGTTGCTAGAAACAGAGGCTTTGCTGAATTTACAACGCTATGCTCCTGCAGAGAGCAGGGGGTTGGACTAGATGACCTGCCAGGTCCCTTCCAACTCTAACATTCTATGATTCTATGCCATCCTAAGCATGTGAAGAAGTGAGCCATGACTCACGAAAGCTTCTCCCCAGCCACCAGTTTTGTTAGTCTTTAAGATGCTGCTGGACTCTTGCTCTTTGCCACTGCTGCAGACAGACTGAGGCGGCTACGCTATGCAGAGTTACACCCTTTCACAGCCCATTGACTTATCTTATGCAGTTACACCCTTTCACAGCCCATTGACTTCAATGACATTAGGAGGGTGTTACTCTGATGAGGGTGGCACTGTTTGTGAGCAAGATTCGAGTGCAGTAGAACCTTAAAAGACCTATATGATTTCCAGGTCAAGAGCCAAGGCTCCTTCCGTCAGATACAACAAAGGAAGCTTTGACTCTGGAAAGCGTGTACCCTGAATCTCTTGTTGGTCTCTACAGTTTTACTGGACTCAAATCCAGCTCTTCGTCTATCTTCTTCAGCTTACCTGAAACTGTTAGTGAGGTATGCAGCAGCTCAAGGATCTGGTCCTTGAGGTAGCACTTAAGGAAAGCACAAAGCTGGGCTTGTCCTAGCTATCACAAAGTGTGTTCAGAATCAAGGTTGAAACGGAACAATGCACATAGTCAGCATCCGGGAGGTCAACCAAGAATATCTAGCAACTGTCCTTAGAAACAGCAGAGAATTTTCAGAGGACTACATGATACATGACTACATCATTGATAAACGGAGTCTTGTACCACTTCAAAGATTTTTTAAAAAAATTCTAGCATAAACTTTAGTGGGCTACAGCCCTCTTCCCCAGTGGTCCAAAGCCGCTTCTTGTTACTCTTGTACATTTTTAGCCTTCGATTGGGCCAGACCACGACAGAGTGAACAGAATAGAATCTTCTTAGTCTTCCAGGTGCCGGAAGACTCCTGCTTATTTTTACTAGAAAAATCAGCACAGGGCAAATGATTATTTACTGCATTTATTATAAACTGTCTTGAAGAACTTGTTAGGAGGAAATGGGGCAGGCATCTTGAAACAAATAAAAACAGAGCTACAGTGGTGAGAGGGTGTGCACTCTGTATATGCTCAAGGGAACTTTCATCTATTCCTACCTTACATGCATGAAAACCCAGTGAACATAAAACAAATTAAGCTCTGTCTAGGAGGAGAGAATGCTGAATTCCCCATGCATGCTTTCTGCCTATAAAATTCTTGCTCAGTCATTGATTTGATGTGCACACTTATTTCTGAAAGCAGAAAGGATAAAGGTTTTGTTTGCTGTAGGGTAGCAGGTTGATCATTAATAGCCAGTTCAGTTAAGTTTACCACACACACACACACAAAATACAACAGGACAGTGCTGCAGTCCAAGACAGAAAGGTTGTCCTGAGAAAACGTTAGCTGAAATGCTATGCAGGATTCAAATGCGATTTCTGCACACAAATTGCCTTAAAGATACTTAAACTGAATGTGCTATAAAGAAACGGCTGATCAATAGAGTATGTTAATTCGTTTGTATCAGGCCAAGGCAATTATCAATAAAAGCTCTGAAAACTAATGCAAAAAGCTTGTTACACTGACGGATGATTCCCTTTCCCTTGCCTTCATCGAAGGTCACGCATTGGTTCATAAATCAGGAAATGAAACTGCAGTTATTGAAGTCTTGCAGCCAAACTTAATGTTCGTAATCATGAGAGATGAACGTTCATATGTGCATTCAAGAACCACTTTACTTTGAAGAAGAGTTGTTGTGGGGCAAGAGAGTGCATACCACTTACAGTGGGAGAGGCACTCAGGTTGTTCTTATGTTTCAAGGAAACCGAAGGACAAATAACATATGGTTACAAATGCAGAAAAGGGATTGTTAAGTTTCAATGAAAGGATATAGGATGTCAGTGTTTCGTAAAAAGCTGGTTTCCCTTGCTCGAAAGCTAGTCGAATCCGACTCTAGGGAGCGGTGCTCATCTCCGTTTCCAAGCCGAAGAGCCAGCGCTGTCCGAAGACGCTTCTGTGGTCATGTGGCCGGCATTACTAAACACTGAGGCGCAGAGAACACTGTTACCTTCCCACCGAAGCGGTACCTATTTATCTATTTGCAGTTTCGAACTGCTATGTTGGCAAGAGCTGGGGCTCACTCCATCACGCAGCACTAGGGTCTTGAACTGCCAAACCACAGACCTTCCAGTCTGCAGCTCAGCATCTTAACCTCTGAGCCACCGCAGCCCCTCAATGTTTCATAATTCTCCACAAAACTTGAGAATTTGTACCTGGGCCTCCCCAATCCCAGTTCAGTATACTAGCCACCTTGCCACACCCCATGGTCTCTGTTTTTTAAAACCAAACCTGTAACAGTGGGGTATAGTGCTTAGAGAGTCAGACAAGATTCTGGGTGACCTGGCTTTAAATTGCCAGTCACATGCTCCCAGCCTAACTTATCTCCAAGGGTTGCTCTAAAATGGGAAAGGGAGAATGATAGGTGCTGCCCATACATAAAAATGTACTAAATGTGCATGCACTTTAAACAAATGGCAGATTCTGCCATTTCCCAGCTGAGACTAAGGCAGTTGCAGTCACTAGCAACCACAGTGGACTGGCAGGCCACAGTGGAACTCCCGATGTGGAACCGGTCCTGTACATCACAAAGGTGGGTGGGTGAAAACCGATTCTGCATATCATGATGGGAGAGGATATGCTGGTTCTTCTGCACATTTAACTGGTAAAGCAGAGCATGTGTGAATAATTGTGAACATGCCCACATACAAGGATAAATTTCCAGACATTTTCTACTTCCTGGTAAGACTTCCCAGTACAAATGACTACACTGGGAATCAGTTCTTTGACTGACTGCCCTTTTAGATCTGAAAGAGTTCTATCGCCAAGTTTGCCTTTGTGTTATCAATGTTCCTGGCATGCAGTGAAGGTTCTATTTTTCCCACAGTGCTTGTAGGTTAGGTGAGCTTGCCGCCTAGTGTGCTAGATTCAATCACTTATACAACAGGAACTGATAAAAGCACACATTTATTAGATTTATTCAGAAGCAGCATTTTCCAGTTGTCTTGTCTAATCAAAGTACATATCAAGGCAATAGAACCAAGCTTATTAAAAGAGGGATAACACGTAACGTTGAGAAGTCAAGTTTAAATAACCCAAACAGCAGAAGTCTCATTCGTTATAAATTTAGAAGCCCTGGAATTAAATGAGCAGCTAGGCCAGGAATACTAACTCACAGACTATACGTTCCTAGGGTGACTTTCTTTGAAGGGTCCAAATTAGACCTACTAAACCAGCAAATCAGTAGTAAAGCTAACAAGATGTACAGTACAAAGGCTGCATCAGTAAAAATGGTTTCCCTTTCTATTATTGCCCACCTCAGGAAATAAATAGTCAACAATATTAAACATTTTCACATTGGAAGAAAAAGGAATTGAGAGAGACAGAGAGATGGATCATATTAAAGCATACCTGCCTTGTCTGTATGCAATGGGCAAAGAAATACAGCATTTTTGGGGGGATAGTCAGTGACTATCAGTTTAATCCTGGTATAAATGACTTTAGAGACTTCAGCTGAGGAAAGCATTATTCCACTGATCATGGAAAAAATTGCATTAAATGAAATGTGAAAGCAGTAACACGTAAAACATGTTTTTGCTTCCCATGAACACTGTTAGCGACATTTTAAAGTGGTGCCTCAGGAAAAAACAATAATGTTTCAGGGGAAGTATTACTGTATTTCTGCTAGGCAAAATATTAGTACAAGAAAATAAATTGTGCCACCTGCTTTATTATTTTTCAGAACAGTGGACCGGATCCAGACTCATGTTTCTGCAGCTGCAGGATTTTTGCCTGTGTGACATGATTTTCCTGCTTTCTCTCTCCTGCAGCAGCCCAAAATGCCCCCAAAGTCTTGTTTCCTGTCCCCAGGAACGGGGGGGGGGGGGGCTCTGGCCTGCTGCAGGAAGAAAGAAGCAAGATAGTTCCACTGCACAGATAGAAATCCTTGAGCTTGCAGAAACGCTAGTTTACCTCTGAGCCAGTGCTTTGTGATTTGTTGGTGTACTGTGTAATAGTAATATAGTTGAGAGAGGCACCTATTTCTACGTACTCTGGTAGATAAGACACATAGCAGAAATACTCGTAAGTACTGGTGGTACATGCTTAGCAAGGTGCTGCCCGTAAATATACGTCCCAAAGGTCTTTGTCACTCAGTAGATGGCACTATGTTCTCCTCTATATTATTTAATATAATCATTTATAGAGAGATCCCTAATAAGAATCGATTTGTACTAAAACATCAACAACCAGATAATCTTTCAGAAATTTACAAATGTACAGTATATTTATAACATTTCTTTCTCAGAGTGTCAGTGCAAAGATATACATATAGTACACCGTGATAATTTCTCATAAAAATAGGAGTTGGCATTGCATGTGTAAAAAAACAAACAAACAAACAAGGCATGGTTCTGACAGAGGTCTCCAGCTGAAAAGACTAAATATATTTCTTTTATAAAGAGAAGTGAACTGTTTCTTCCTTCTGTTTACAAAAATATATGTGCAAATGGGTGTTCCTAATTATTCCCTATGTGAGCTGGTTATACAACAGAGTCCTCTTTGACGAGATTGGCGGTGTCATTGAACGAATCCTCGGTTGCTGAGTAGGCTAACGGCTGGTCTCTCCTGAGAATGATCTTCTGAGGCAGTGACGGAGACGGAGGAGGAATGTTCTCAGCATCTCCTCGGTGTTCCTTTTCCATCTGAAAAAAATGGGAGGGTCATTATCTTCCTCGTAGGGCATCTAAGGCCTCTTAGAAAAGTCTTAAAAGAGGCAAAACTTGGATCAGGTTGGGTAACTCTTAGCCAGCATGCTACACCAACTCTTGCAGGCATAGAGTTGCATCTCACCACTCATGGAGGGCCCTTGCAGCTTGGGGAGCCAGATGTGCACTTAGGGAATGCCTGATCAAAAGGGCACTGGATTGTCAGGGTGATTTAACAGTAGGACCTTCTAACAGGGCAAGCAACCACCTCTTCATCTTTATTACTGAGAACGTTTATATGTCGTCTCTCCAGAGAACCTGCTCTTGAGGGAGCTTACAAAGTAAAGCATATGATAAAATCGTAAAAGAGCACTAAAACAAACCCCAACCCAGCCAGAGCATAAAAATAGCATAAAACATTAAGCAGGCCTTAAACGATTATCATGAAACTCAGCTATACCTCCGAATAGATGGGATTCTCAAAGTTAGTACTTTGCTTCAGTTTTCTTTTGAAGAAGTTCCACTTTGTCTCCTGAAAAAGAAAACAATTAAGGGGAAATATTTTACTGGTAACTATTTTGGACTCAGGGATGACTCAGCGACAGGCAATCAACTTAAGGAGAGAGCTAGAAGGGTTCTGGCAAATACAGAAACTTGGTGGTGTAGCGGCACTCAATTAGCGGTGCTGACATTTGTGCTAGCAAGCTCTGCCACCAAAGACCACTGCCTGATCAGTGCTTGGTGTGAGTCTTCTTGTGATGGAGCTTGCCCAGGGCCAGATCTAACAAGAGCAAAGAGTCACACCTTGACAAGATATAAGTAGGGAAGGCATTCCACATTTAATTAACATGCAAAAGTGTGAGTCATTTAATAGATCGCCCACGGGCATGTGTCATGTGTACTTTGTGCTGAAATAACAGAACTCGGGGGCTACAACACATCTTAGGTAGACTTTAGGCAGAATGGCATATCAGTTTCGGTCCCTCTCTTCCTACTGCTTTTGCTGGTGCTGCTACTAAGAGTAATGTTAGTACTACTTGTTGTAGTTAATACTAATAGTGCCAGTGATATGTTAATTGATGCACAGAACACAAAAGTAAGGTAGTATCTACTAAGAATATTTAGTGTCTATGACTTATAGAATGGAAACCCATAACTGATGTGACTGGAAAGTCAGAAAGTGGTGGAGGGTGATGAAAACAGGAGAACGAGAGACGTTTGTTGAACAGAGAGAAAGAGGCTGCTTGTGACACCGAGAGCAGCAAGAGAAGAGGACAAGGAAAAGATAAAGGGAGAAAATGGTGAAATTCAGGGAGCGAGAAATGGTGGAAGATACTATAAAGACAGAGAGGTAGGTCAAAGAGATGGAGATTTATACCTAAAGGATATTACTAATTACACAATACCAAGAAACCTGAAAGTTATTTTGCTAAACCTATAACCTAAATTCCAAAATTTCCAAAAGAACTCACTGCAGTACTATTGACCACAGCCAAGACTTTGTTAGGACTCCCACAGTTAGGCAATGGTTTTTGAAAATATGGGACTTTATAGTTTTGGATAAAATATTAGACCAGTTATTGCTTACTGAAAGCTCTTCCTATCAGTCACACTTTATGGAAAAATGGTTCTCTTTTTTTTATTAAATATCTAACACTGCTGCAAAAGAAGGTACTTTACCTGGGAAATCTGTTCACCTTTCTATTAACAACATTGTTGCATAGTATCACTCTTCACAGTTTGATGATATGTTTGTTGGTTGTTTTGTTTGTTACAATATCAATATCGTTTTACTGTTCTATGTTACTATTATTTATAATATTAACAAAAATTATTATTTAAGAAAAAATAAAGTTTCAGTTGTGTTTAACAGTTTGTACCGGCTTGGCTGGATTTTGTCAGTCATTTTCACACATGCAAGAAGGCAAATTTCACCAATCCCCCCCCCTCCTATGATAGACCCCTAAACCTCCCCACGCTATTCCCAGGGGCGGGGGTGGGCGGGAGCACTGTCCTCCAGGAGCAGTACTTCAGGAGTCTTTTTGGACTACAACAGCATGAGGGAAGTGGACAAATTGTGCTACCAACAGTGGTGATTTTTTTACAGGATCCAAGTCATTGTCTAAATTATGCCCCAGACTGCTGAAGATGTTTGCATTTGTGAGCCTGAGCACCATGAGACACAGAACTTTTCTTCTGAGAGCTCCATGAACATTTGATTCCAGCACATTCTACAAAGCAGAAGTCAGTTACCTGGGGCGTTTCTGTACTTGCTGGAGGCTGGGGCACGCTGGCGGATACAGATGTAGCATAGACTGGATTCTCAAAGTTCTCGTTTTCTCCACTGCCGGAAGCCGTGACCTGTTGCCATGATATAAAAACATACCATGTGTTCTGCATTTTTGTATAAGAGGTAACATTGATATCTGCCACTACTTGCTTTCTTGTTCAACTGAAGAGAATCCAAAGCAGAGGTTTCTTTCACGGTCTTTGAGGTGCACATGTATTAGTCTATTGTGGAAAAGTTGGCATGGTTTCAACAAATAACAGCACAGGTTATATTATATGTGAGCCGCCCTGAGCCTGCCTCGGCAGGGAGGACGGGATAGAAATTAAATGAATAATAAATAAATAAATAAATAAATAAATAGGGATGTTAATGTTTCTCCCGGATTTTCTAGCTACCCATGCAACAGACTACACGTTTAACACCAACAGATTTTTCTCCAGAGGAAAAAGCCTCACAGTTTTGCATCTCTACGTACTGAAGTTGTTAATTTTTATAATCCTGAATTTTGTTATGGGTTATAGCCAAGACAAATAAACTTGATTTAACTTATTCCCATGGATGGTTTGAGAAGACTACAGCAGCGGTTAGAAGAAAAGGCAGGAGTTTAGTGATAACTAGGTCAAACAGAACAGTTCAGCATGAGAAGAAAGACAGGTTTCACTTTTCTCCCTTACTTGTGTAGGAGGGGTGACATTCATGTCCACCTCGCCACTGTCTTTTGTTGTATACATTGGGTTTTCAAATGTGATTGGCTGCTTCCCGGTTTCCGTAGCAAAGTTTTCATTCTATGAATAATAGTGAAATGTTAGCTCCCATCCACCTTAAGGCATATCACTCCTTAAAGCAAACCATAAATGTTATATGTGACCAGGTTGTGGCTTGGTAGTAGTGAGGAAGAAAATTTGTCTTAGTAAAGCATCTTCTTTGCATGCAGAAGGTCTTAGGTTCAATCCTTAGCATCTCCAGTTCAAAGGATAACATAGTGGGTGATGTGAAAGACCTCTACGGGGGATCTTGGAGAGCAGCGACCAGTCAGAGCCGGCTATATTGACCTTGGCAGGCCAGTGATCTTACTCAGGAGAAGACGGTTTTACAATGCTAATGCTCAAGTGAGAGTGATAAACCCTTTCTCTTCAAAACACAACAATTTACTCCACAGGCACATATTCATCCCAGCAAGGAACTTGGCAACCATTATGGCATCCCAAGTTATATGCAGAGAGAGAACTGTGCGCGAGATCATCAAATTCAGGAGGTGCTTTCAAGTATGTACATGTAGAGTTATACTCCATATATCATTTCAGAATGGGGGGTAAAAATGAACCTGTCTCTATTAGTCAGTGACAAACACCACACACAAGACGACAAGTTCCTATAAATCAAAGAACTTTGTAATGAAGAAATAACCAAAATACCAATACGGGTGGCTCACTGGTGTTTCTTCAAAATAATCCTTTAATTACATAGGATTTGTTCATTTTTCATTGTGGAAAATTTGCTGTTTTAAAAGAATCCTGTTCTTCTCTAGGTCAACAGGATAACTGACAGGTGGCTAGGCAAGATGTTTCTCCAAACCGATTACCAACGGAGGTGAATGCTACAAAAATCCCAACTAAGGAAAGCTGAAATAAATCTGAAGCAGTGACATTTGTTAAGGTGAAGCTCCAAAACCAGCAAGTTTTTGAAGCCATCTTCCTCTGGGTGTGAAAGTAAAAATGGTACGGAACAGACTTGGTCACTACATTACCACAATACACATTTTCTTGATCTTTTTGTTCCCATCCCAGGTTCTCCACACCAAAATAGAATTATTTCTTTAGAAAAAGTATTCAGGAATTTTCACTGACAGAATGTGACGACATTTAAATATCCCTATTAGTAGCCAAATATGGCTGAGAAAATCATGATTAATTGATACGGTGAATTTTATGGAATCCGTGAAATTGAGATCAATTTCTATTTTCCTTCAAATCAGGAATGGGACGCGTCACTACTGAGACCAAGTTCCAAGAGCCAGTTTGGTGTAGTGGTTAAGTGTGCGAACTCTAATCTGGGAGAACCGGGTTTGATTCCCCACTCCTCCACTTGCACCTGCTGATGTGACCTTGGGTCAGTCACAAGCTCTGGCACAGCTGTTCCTGAAAGAGCAGTTTGTGTCAGAGTTCTCTCAGCCCCACCCACCTCACAGGGTGTCTGTTGTGGGGAGGGAAAGGGAAGGGAGTTTGTAAACCGCTCTGAGACTCCAAGTGAAGGGTGGGGTATAAATCCAATCTCTTCTTCTTCTTCTTCTTCATACCTGATTTGAAGGAAAATAGAAATTGACCTCAATTTATTCCCCCCCCCCCAAGGAAGAAGGGCAGCTAGCACAGGATTGCTAGAAACATACAGTCTTCACTGCGTCAAGATACTAATTCTATTTGCGTGTGGAGAAGCAGGCATGGGAGGGAACAAGAAGATCAAGAAAATGTATAACGTGGTAATGTATATTAGAATATGAAAACCCTCATATAGATTCCAAAGATTTGAAACCAAGTTAATATTCTTGAATACCTCCTAAGAACAGCATGTTTAGAGAAACTGCTGACCCATTTTTTAAGACACCTCTGCAACATTTCTGATGTGTCACATGCTCCCCAGCTGATCTCTCACATGCACCCTGGGCCAGCAGAAAAGAAGTTCCAAGTGGATGATGATCATTTTAAAAGTGCACATTATATATTTTTAAAATCTAAAATGTTCCTCATTGCATATATCTTTAAAAAAACAAAAACAAAAACCAAGGCACTTCATTGGAGGAAAACCCTCACCATTTGCATTGCTCTGTCAATGGCAGATTCGGCTCCAAAACCAGACACACTGACGTTCGTGGTCCCATCAGCTCCCGATCGGAACGTTACCCCATTGCCATTTTCCGTGGTTTTCACAAGACTGCTTAAACTTTGAAAACAAGAATATTTTTTTCACCAACAATAGATGGCTCAATAGAAGATACCTTTCTAAACACTTGTTCAATTCTTATTTGGGGGCAAGGGGATAACATTTCTTTGAAGTATACAGAAATAGATTGCTGAATTATTTCTTTAGAAATAAGTATTCAGGAATTTTCACTGACAGAATGTGACAACATTTCAGTATCCCTATTAGTAGTCAAATATGACTGAGAAAATCATGATTAATCGATACAGTGAATTTTATGGAATCTGTGAAAAACACACCAGCAGCGATACTGTTCCCCTGCATGTACATATGGGAGGCAGCTATGAAACAGGTATATGCAGCTGTGTCTCTCATGTACATGCAATACACAGTCTGCAGTATGCAAAGGGTTCCACTGAACGTACGTTATGGCAAACAGCTGACTACACACCATAAAACAGACACACATAGCTGCTTCAGATGCAATGGACCATGCCACATGTACACGCAGGGTATACAGAGGCACAAAGCGCTCCTTGGGGCACTCTTCAGTGGAGAACGCAGCTCTGTGTATTTATTCATTCATTTATTTGTTTGATTTATATTCCGCCCTCCCCACCGGAGGTGTATATATTTCTTTGTCCACTGAAGTATATGTGAAAGTCCTCTTGTGTAGCAATTCTGGACAAACAGGGATTGGTACTGGGGTGCGTAACTTAGTAAATAGCATTTTATTTGCTTTTCGGAATGATCAATTTGAGTGAAAGCCGACCGGCACAGTCTGTTTTCATAAAGACCTCTCAAAGGACTGTCATCTACTATGGATACAGAGGCCTTCTGCATCCACCAGGTCTTCAGGTACAATCTGAATCCCACCGCAATCAACTGTAAAAACTCATAGTGATCTGAATGGCTGTTGGAATTATAGAGTTGGGAGGGGCCATACAGGCCATGTAATCCAATCCCTGCTCAATGCAGGATCAGCCTAGAGCATCCCGGACCCTGACAAGAGTTCGTCCAGCCACTGCTTGAAGGCTGCAAACGAGGCAGAGCTCACCATTTGCTCAAAATGTATAAATTCTTGTTGAAATTTGAGACTGAGGAAGGAAAAGGGAAAGACGGAACGATAAAACGGGCTAAAAATTTTGGATATGATATATAAATGGAGTAGTAGGAAAACTGTGGTTAAAGGGATTGAAATTTACATTTTATTTACTTATTCAGTTTCTATTCCGCTCTCCCCCACTATCATGGGGCTCAGAGTGGATCACAACATATAGTAGACAGTTAAAATGCAATTAAAAACATACAAATTTAACCAGTTCAAATACTTACAATTAATTAGATGGTATATGATGGTGCTACCACTGTCCCAGGGGAAGAAAAAAGGGGGAAGAGGCAGGCAGAGCTGTATAAAAGAATTCTCTTGGCCTCAGCCATATGCTTGGTGGTACAACTCCGTTTTACAGGCCCTGAGAAGTGAACCAGGTCCTGCAGGGCCCGGATCTCACTTGGAAGTGCGTTCCATCGAGCCGAAAAGACTAGCTCTCATTGAGGCCAGGTGGGTATTCTTCAGCCCCGAGACCATCCGTGTGTTGTTAAGAGCGTGGTGCTCTCTGGGGAGTATGCCAGGAGAGGCGGTCCTGAAGATATAATGGTCCCAGACCATGAAGGGCCTTGAAGGTTAAAACCAACACCTTGAACTTGATCCACTACTCAATCTGGAGCCAGTGCAGCTGGTGGAGAACTGGTTGGATATAGGCTCTAACAGGGGTTTCTGTAAAGACCCGTGCCACTGCGTTCTCGACCAGTTGAAGATTCTGGGTCAGTCTCAAGGGTAGCCCTATATAGAGCAAGTTACAGTAATCTAGTCTGCAGGAGACCCTTGCGTGGATTACTGTAGCTAGATCAGGGCAAGATGGAATGTCCCTTCACGTTGTTCACATTTTCAACATAGACTAGAAGTACCATTATGCATTCTGGCCAGTTTCTCTGGAGACATATACCAATGTTACAACATCTTATACAAATTCTCTTTAAGGCTAGAACTTAATGAGACGGAGACGGCTTTAGTTGCCCTCACACATGACCTCCGCAGACATCTGGACAAAGGCGAGTCAGTGGTGCTGTTGTTACTCGATCTATCAGCAGCATTTGACACAGTAAACTATGAGTTGTTGACGCATGGGGATACGGGAGGGCAGCCTTGAAGTGGTTTGTCTCCGATAAACCTCAATCATGTCACCCCTCAGTGAAGGGATACAGGAGGGCAGCCTTGAAGTGGTTTGTCTCCATTCTCTGAGGTTAGGGACAGAGGGTGGCGCTAAGGGAGAGAATTTCTCTATTACACCCATTGGTGTGTGGTGTCCCTCAAGGGGCTATTCTCTCCCCAATGCTATTATTTGCATCCCCTTGCCCAGCTGGTGCAGATTTTCAAGCTGGGATGCCGCCAGTGCTGATGACACCCTGCTATACCTGTTGATGGGTGGCCAGCTGCCTGACACCTCAGAAAATCTGGCAAAGGGATTGGAAGCTGTGGCTGGATGGCTAAAACAGAGCCGGCTGAAATTAAATCCATCGAAGACAGAGGTCCTTTGGCTGGGGAAGGGAGACCTTGTTTCGGGTCTCCACCTCCCGACTATGGACAATGTTCCTTTAACACCAGCACCAACGGTGAAGAGTCTGGGCATGATTCTGGATACCTCCCTGTCAGTGGCAGCCCAGAGCACAAATGGGGCCAGGTCGGCGTTTTTCTATCTATGCCAAATCCAGCTGCTGGTACCTTTTTTTATCATATAGTGGCTATGTAAGAAAGCAAAAAAACCCCACACCTGGATACAAATGCAGCTACTGATAACAGAAGATTTTAAAGACTAATATACAATTGAAATCAGAGTATTTTGGGATTAATGGACAAGGAGCTGGGAAAAAGTTAAGTAACTTTGTTTTTCTATATGACTATGGCAGCAAGACTACTATACGCACAAAAATGGAAGAGTCCGACAATGCCTACAATAGAAGAATGGTTGGAAACGACATTGGAACTTGCAACGATGGCCAAACTTACTGCATTGGTTATGGAAAAGACAATTAGTTTGTTTATTACTGATTGGAAACCCCTTATAGACTTTTTGCATGAAACAGATAATAATGATTTGATGGTCTGTGTTTTTTGGGAATAAGAAACGTAGAAAATAGAAAAAAGAGAGCTCTGTACTATATGCATGTATTGAGTAAGAGAAAATTACTTAATCAAGTCTATATTTGTCGTAGAGAAAATCAGAAGCCTCCCTTCTTTTTATTTTATTATACTTATGTATGATTTTTTCTTTTGTTAAATTTCCCCCTTGTAATATCTAGCCGGTACCTTTCTACCTGTAATTTAAACCCATTATTGCGATTCCTATCCTCTGCTACCAATAGGAATGCTTCCAGTGAATTTAAAGCAGAACGAAGAATATGTACTCTCACCCTTCCTCTGATTTTTAAATACAAACTGAAGGCACTTGGAGAAAACAAAGCAAAAATTAAAAACAGGTATAGGTTTGTTGCTGCTTGTTAGCGGAGCTCACCACCAACCAAACCCTCCCCCTCCACAAACTTTTTTTATTGCAACCAAGAGGACATGCAAGACATTTCGAAATAAATTCAGACGCAGAAAAGGGAACAGAACAGGAACTAAACAGATGTTTTCTCAGGCCTGTTATCACCCATGCAAAACCTACCTCGGCAGTTTGGGAAGTGATGGTAAGAGGGAACCTGTCCGTCGGTAATTTAAAAAGCCACCAACAGCTAGAGCTCCAATGATTATTATCAAAATGACAATCAGCAACACGGCCACTGCTGCAACAGGAGAAGAAAAAAAGAGTCAGCAAATAAGATGGACTTTACAGCTGGATTTTCCAATAATGTCCCTGCACTGAATTCTAGTGCAGCCCTTAAGGCCCATGTTTGATGGTCCAGTATAGAAGTAGGTTTGAAGCTTACTGGTTCCAGGAGGTACTCCTTTGGACAATCCTACTTCACAGTAACTTCCAGTGTATCCATATGAGCATCTGTGAATGGAAGGGAGATACGTGACTGGCACTGACTGCAGAAACATAGCTGTATTCATTACATTCTGTAAAGAATACCTACAAGACACTACTTTTTAAAAATCTCATTCCTTAGTAATTACATGTTCCACTAGAGGCACAAGGGGGGGGGGGTCTGCTTGCTATTTACTGAGAAATGAGCATGCAGAAACGCTGAGTCACAAACAAAGTCATCGGTTTTTAAATATTAGAAGAGAACAGGTTTAGTTTCAATGGAGCATTAGTGGCCCCTACAGGCTAAGCTGAATTAAAATGCGCTTTTGAGGGTGGTTTTTTTTTGGGGGGGGGGGGGGGGGTTTTGAAATTCCTTGGTTTTTCTTTTGAACAAAAATCAGAGTCACCTGCCCTCTGAACAGCTTTTCTTTTGTTTTAAACACCTGTAGCCTCTCCAGTTACTCATCATAAGGTATTTTCTTTGAGGTTTAGGCAGCCTCCTGGCCATCAACTGGGGAGCTGCTCTATGACTTCATCATTTTAGACAGGTAGCAGATCTTTAACACGACACACATTTGGAGCTGCAACAGGTGAGCAGAAGGCCAATGTGGTTGGGTGGTTTGCATCACTTCAAAATGTGGGGGACTGAATGTTTGAATGCCCCCCATCCCCTGATGTGCGCTATGCCTATCCAACATGAATTATATGAGCGGGAAACCTACCCAAGAACATTCCCATCACATGTTAGTTTTGAACATTCAAGGAGAATTCAGACATATGATTTATCCCTCCATCTGACTTCAGACATGGCATAGGGCAACTATGGATACATCTCGTCAGAGTGACTTCTGGTCAGCGATAACTGAAACCTGGCGACTTCCTTAACATTCTCTCTCTGATAATGGCCAACCATTTTACCCAGGTCCAGTTTCCCAAGCTACCAAGCCAAGTCTATCTTGGAGACAGTGGGATGGACCCTACCTCTAATCTTAACACTCAACTGAGCAAAAATTGAAGTTTTCTTCCAGCCTAACGAAACTTCCTCCAATTTATGTGGCTCTTCCTCCAACAGAGGAAGACTGGAGGAAAGATACTTGGAGTATGTTTGGATCCACCTCAGTTATTCTCATTTACTGGTTCCCATGTGAGGTTTCTAGACATCAGGATGACATACTACATCACATAATTGTAACATTGAAAGTATCTCTCAAGAAATAAGGTCTGACTTGATCAGAAGAAGAAGAGAAGAGATTGGATTTATACCACACCCTTCATTTGGAGTCTCAGAGTAGCTTACAAACTCCTTTCCCTTCCCCTCCCCACAACAGACACCCTGTGAAGTAGGTGGGGCTGAGAGAGCTCTGACAAGTTATAAAACTGCGATCCAGAAAAGCTACACAAGCTGGATCAAGGGACCATGCATGCAGCTGGGATCTCTTCTGCAATGTTTTCCATAACAAAAGAGACAAGCCTGGGTTCATTCTTAAAAACAGGTTGCCAGCTTGGAAGTGAGAAAACAAGTCAGCAAAAAATTCCCAGTGTTTATGAACCTTGTGTCTTCTTTGGATTGCAGCCTACCGTGACACTGTGAGGAACAAAAATCCTGTTTGTTACCAAACTTGACAACCCTCTGAGATTTTCCACATAGACTTACTTGCATTTAGGGAGTCCATCTTCATCAATATAGCATGTTCCGCCATACATACATCTGCATGCTGGTGGCATTGTAGGAGGGGGCTCAATAGCTATAAAAATGAGAAGTCATGTGTGTGTCAATTACACTCCGTATGTATCCTGAAAAGCACTTAACAATGTCTATTTATCCGTAGATCAAACTTTATTCTTAGGTCAATATCTATTTATTCTTAGATCAAATTTATGACAATAATGGCTTTTGGCCATGAACAAGAAGGGAGATCTTGCATATACGGCAGATAGGAGTGCAATGCTTACTCAGTTCCCACGGTAAAGGTAATACAGTACGGGTTGGTGTAGAGTACCAGTAAGAAAGTGGGGGGAAATGGTACCGCCAATATTTCTACTTCAAGCCCCACCTACTACCTTGAGAGAGAGAGAGTGCCAATAAGAGATCTAAGCTACTTTTACCCCGTTGGTTCCCTGCCAAACCTGATGGATACATTTGTTGTGTTTATGTAAGCGTTTCCTCATTTGGCTTACTGAATTCAATCGAACACATCAAGAATTGGATCAGGGCCCAGGAGCTGATATTCTATCCATCTAAAGATAATACAGCAAAATTGTTTTAATTACCATGGAAGCTGATGACCTAGCAAAGTCCTTCTACCCAGATCTGCATGTGGTACATTGACCACAGGTACAATGACATGGGAGATGTGGAACACCTGGTGACTGATTTGCCACTAGCAGCTCTTTGCAGGCTCTGGGAATGCATGTGGTCCCTTACGTGCTCTATTGTGTGCCAGGAGCCTCTGAATGGAAGTAAATTATCCCAGCTGCATTCATACAAATAGACACATCTATTCAGAGCAGGAGGCCTCCATCTAAACCTGTCACACTTAATTCCAGTGATTTGGGGGGCTATAATTTGCTCTTCTCTTTTAAATATGAGCTTTAATCCAATTAAAATTTTGGTCATTACATAAGTTTGGAACAATCCATAAAGATTTCAGCTCTACAGGGAAATTCTCAGCAATCAATCTTTTATAAGACATATAGGAGATACCCCAGGTTAAATGCTGTATGTTTGCTGAAGTGAAACCATAGGCATTTAAGACAGGACTTTATGACACCTCACAGTTTTTGATTAGCGTGGGAAACTATATTTTCAACTAGGCTCAGGAACAATCCCATCTCAGTGTAGTTTGCTGTACACAACTGCAGGTTCAATGGGAATACGTGTGGATTATCTTCAACGATTTTTGTTTGTTTTTAACACACGGTAATTAGGAATAAGGGCAGTATGCCAAAAGCTATAGCTGAAGAGAGCTTTATACTAGTCCAGTCTCAGTTCATATTCTCACCTGAGAAATCAATCTCAGTAATCCTCACCCATATAGGCAAATATTAAGAACATGGGGGGCCTGCGAGACTCAAAGGGGGTTGGGATCCCATCCCCCCCCACACACACACCAAGTTCAGTGCAGCTCGGGGACACACCACCTGCCTCTGAGGCTGGCTGCAGTGGCCACATTGTCTGGGAGCTGCCCTGAGCTCCAATCAGCTCCTGGTGGCTGGGCTCAGAGTGGCTCCCAGCAGCCACAGTTGCTGCAGTCAGGCCCAGAGCAGCTCCTGGCATCTGCTGCGGCCGGACCCGGAGACGCTCCCAATGACCCACCTGGCCTGGAGTGGATCCCAGTTGCTGAAGCTATAGTATAACGATAAGTGCCTTGTCTGTGCATGTGTGGTGCTTTTTTATTTGGTGGGGATTTAAACATCCCCCCCCCGATGTATTTCTTTTAAAGATCTCAAGATCTTTCTGAAAACCTGGGAGCCCCCCCCCCCAAGTTTGCAAAAAAAAATTCATCTGTTCAGCACTGGCATGGCCCCAATCCACAGATTCAGATATCTACAGATGGGGGCCACACATATATAGATAGCTGTCCTAGCACCCTGTTTAGAGCTTCTGGCCCCACACTTACTTGCTTCAGGAGCAACACCTGGTCAACAAGGCAACACCAGGGCCAGTGTGAAAAGTGAGATGGGCTGACTGGGAGCCACGGGAAGCACCCCAGCAGCCTATGGAGGAGAATCCCCCGGGGACAGCCCTAGCGGAGATGCAGCAATGCCTGGAGGGACTGTGACAGGGCCAAGATAGGAACCAGGGCAGCCCGCCAGGAAGCCCCAGGAGGGGGGCCCTCAGTAGCAGCTGCACCAGTTGGAGGCATGGCAGGAAAGACCAGGCATGCCTGGAGGGATGAGCAAGAGCCCCAGGACAACCCAGGGACGGGGCAGGTCTCAGTGGTGGAGCATCTGCTTGGCAAGCAGGAGGTCCCAAGTTCAATACCTGGCATCTCCAGGACTTCCATTCAAGACCCTGGAAAGACACTACCAGTCTGAGTAGACAATACTGACTGTGATGGACCAGTGGTCTGTTTCAGTATAAGGCAGCTTCATGAGTACATGGCCCTTTGAGGCAAGCAGGGAAGAGGGAGGGAAAGAAGGCCCCAGGGCCCTGCAGAATGAGTCACCGGTGCCAGGACCTGTCCTTCCTGCAGGCCCAACCCTGGGGCTGACGTGATTGGCAGAGCTGCCCCTCCAAGAGTCCACTGAAGAGATGAAAGGGAGGAGGGACAGAGCTTTGAAGGTGGTGCTGAGCTCCACTCCCCTGCCCATTCCGGACTGCCTGCAGACACAGTTTTCATGCAGAGGCTCTGCCTGCAGCCAGAGTGCCATTTCCTCTTTAAGTCAGAGCAAAGAAGGTTTTGTTTTCTTCCAGCCTAAAAGGGAAAGCCCACAAGCCCTGCCCAGAATGAACACACCACATGTAAGCTCCTCGCCAAGTGGGGTATGCTATATTCCACCTGGGGGGAAATCCCCATTTAGCCTTTCAAGGAACGTATTCAATGGCTTCTGCAAAGAAATAAGGCTTAATAGTCTCCTTTACCTGCATCACAGTCCGTTGAGCTTCCTTCTACAAAACGAGCCCCTTGAGGGCAAGCGCAGGAGTATCCCCCAGGTCTCAACAAGCAGAGGTGACTGCAGACATCTTTGCAAGGACTGGCCACTGTAAAACAAAACGAGGTAAAGGAAACGGGAGAATCAGCTGGATATAGCTTATGACAACAACTGTATTTGTTTTATTTAAAACATTTTTATGCTGCCTTTCCACCCAATCAAGGTCCACAAGGCAGTGAACATAAAACCATTGAAACATTTAAACAATCCACCCATGCAAGCCCATCCTACGATTACATAATGTCGGACATTCTGCAGCTAAATGGGGTGAGCTGACTCCTCTGAAAGGCAATGGGTAGGATCCCATGACTCCCTTCCATTAAGTTTTTGCTAAATGGGGTGAGCTGACTCCTCTGAAAAGTAGGATCCTATGACTCCCTTCCATTAAGTTTTTCTCCAAAAGAGAAAAGATCTCCTTTAAAAAAGAATGTCTTTTCCCTCCATCAGTGGAAAATCTTCTTTGTCAGAAAGAGTCATTCTGGAGAAAAAGTGTCTTGAACAAGGACTTAGCAGAAAAGAGTGGCAGGATCCAGCTTACTGGGAATCACGTGATCCAACCCACTGTGTCCAAGACAGGGATGACCTACTGTAGTCCATTTTGCTTCTATATGTTGTCATTGTCAGTGGCTTCAATTTGCCTCGCTTTCATTTTCATTTTACTGAGAGCCAGTATTAGAATGTCAGGCTAGGGTCTAGGAGACCCAGGGTTGAATCCCCACTCTACCACGGAAGCTTGCCAGGGTGATCTTGGGCCAGTCATACAATCTCAGCCTAGCCTACCTCACAGGATTGCTATGAGAAGAAAATGGCAGAGAGGAGAACAATGTAAGCCGCTCTGGGTATTGTAAAAGTTAATGCTGGACGTTCTCTTGTTGTTTCTGGAGGGAACACAGGCAAAACAACGTCCAAAAGCACAAAGAAAAGGGACTTCCAGCAACATGGTGACTGAGTGATGGAGGATAATTATTATGCTTCTTCGAGCCTCTACACATCAAGGGCAGAAAGCTGCCAGGCAGGGCTCATTTACAGCCTGCGCCCACTTCTTTCTGATAAGCAGGGCTTCAGTGACCCATGCAAGAGAAGATCAGAAGATTAATTAGTCTTCTGACTCCCTTTAACCCGGACAACATCCAGGTGGGTGTGGAGACTGACCAGCAAACGCTGCATAAGTCTGCCTTGATATTATCAAAAGCACAAAGAAACAGGGGATGATGGAAATCATAATTTATGAGTAAGTTCCAAAGGAGTGGGGGCGAGGATGGGTCTCTGTTCATTAAGACTGCTGAAATGTTTAAATGGATGCAGCCAGGTCCAGTTCCAGTGCCACCGCATGCAGAAACACCGGTCTCATTCACGGAGAGATCTGTTCCTTAGGAAGCTGTCACTAATGGCTTAGAGGACATTATTTATTTATTTGTTTATTTATTAGATTTATATCCCGCTCTTCCACATGGGCTCAGGGCGGCTAACATAAGAGGCAAACGCCACACATAAAACAATTTAAAACCAATAAATAATCATTACAATTAAAATCAGTGCTCAACAGTAAACTATTAGTTTAAGAAGGTAGCCGTGGGCAATGTTCCCTCTAAGCTGTGGAGTCCTGTGAGCAAAAATTCTACCTTGTGAGCTCCTGGCATGAAAGTTGTGAGCGATCGATTTGGCTGTTGCATAAGTCAGTTTGATCTGGAGCCCCATCCTTCCTGAGCCAAGACAAAAATGTGTGAGCCAGAGGCTAAAAAATTGTGAGCTGGCTCACACTAACTCAGCTTAGAGGGAACACTGGCCCGCAGGTCAGAAGGGAGCTTTGTCTCTCGAAAGCTCATGCTCTGAAAACCTTGTTGGTCTTTGAGGACATTGTTCCTTGTTTCTGGGTGCCAAGGATTCAGTGGTAACACACCGTCCAGGCCTGGCCCATTACCTGACTGGTTGCATCTGTGTTGGTGATAGATGCGGACTTGAGTCAGCCAAGGGTTGATAGTCAGGACTTTGACTTTTTCTCCCTTCCCAAATTTGTCTTCTTTCCAGACTTCTCCTCTTTCCTTAGACATCCAGTAGAGATGGCCTTCAAAGACGTCGAGACTATACGGGCTGCTTACTTTTCAGTGAAACAAAATAGCAAAAATGGGTAGCCACACCAAGGAGCGAACGCTTGCTCTCCAAACAGTTCTCGCCATGCTTTTCTGTATCAGGGGACCAGAACCAGCCTGCCCAGGGCTCTTATGCGGACCGAGACCAACTGGTGCAAGGGAGGAAGTGCTGGGGGGAGAGTGGGTGGAGCAACTCCATTGTGGCTTCAGCACAGAAGAACAACCTTGTCTGCAGCAAAGCATTGTGGGAGCGTCTGCCCAGTGCTGCACTGCTGCCTCTCCAGTCTGCCTAGGTGGGTTTTCCTCTGCACCCCCCTCCCAGCCCAGGGGGCCTTGCAGTGGGAATACACCAACTTGGTGCTTACCAGCTGCTGTCCTTTATACAGTTTCTATCTCCGGTACCTAGCATTATGTTTTAAGCCACACATAGCCCCAAAGTGGCTCTCGTAACAAATGAGTTTGATATCCCTGTTCTATACAACTGAATTAATGGTTATTAATAATCACTTTGGAAACTAAGTCCCAAAGATTTGTGGACATTTTCTACCCTAACCCAAAGTTACGTTTTCAAAAAGTTTTCAGGCTTTGCCACAAAAATGGAAAGAAAACATCACTTTGGCTCATGCACAACACAAGTTCTGCACTACTTGCCCAGCTGTGTATGCATTTACTGAATCTGAGTGCCATATGACAAGCCTCGTCCCTCACTGTGGTCTTTAACAAAATATCCGCTACCACAGTATGAACAGACCCCTGGGAATCTTGGGGGAAATGTCTTTAGTCCACATTTAGTTTCATACCTCCTTGCACAACAATCTTCCTGTCAGTCCCATCAGATTTCATAGATTCAATTAGGTTTTCCTTCACATCACTCCAGTATATTCTGTCATTGTTCAAATAATCGATAGAAAGGCCAGTTGGCCAGCCAAGGTCCTGGGAGACCAAGGTTTGCCTTTGTTGCCCATCCATCCAGGCACTCTCAATTTTTGGTAGTCTTCCCCAGTCCGTCCAGTACATTAGCCTAAAGAGAGCAGAACCAGCAGTCATACAGGACACCAAACCATACACTCACTATAGAAGCAAAATATCCACCACGAGAGAGTCAGGTTGGTAAGCATTTGGCAATTCCTTACTGATCACGTTCTCACTCACTGGGATATTTCTTTTTTATCTCAGATCATCTGAGATAATCCCTCAACCTCTCCTAATTAATCCATGCAACTTTGCACAATCCATTCTATATTTTACAGTATGTGCTCGAGCTATCTGCAGCATTTTCTGGCCAATTTTCTTGGTAATTTCTACAGCCTTCCTTGTCTCATTTATAATTTTGTGAGATAAATTAGGCTGAAAGATTATGATGTGCCTAAAATAAAGGTCAGGGACCTAGGTGTGACCAGAGGCCGTGCACGTTTGGCCACAAACCAAAGCGCCTTTTGGCTCTCAGCCCTTAGCTTAGGGCTTGTACTTGCAAATGCTGGCCAAGACCGAAATACAGTTGATTTCTTTGTTTATTGCTTTATTTATATTGTTTTTTTTTGTATTGCTCTAAGTCACTTTTGACCCAACAGGACACAGATTGACCCAATAAAGGAAGCCACAGCTTTCAGTCTGCAAGACCTGAGCAAGGTTGCGAAAGACAGGTTGTTCTGGAGGTCATTCATTCACTGGGTCGCCATACTAAATTGGAAGTGACTTGAGAGTTTGTAACACACATACAAGCTGCTTTGGGTCCCCAGAGGAGAAAAGTGGGACTCTAATATTTAAACAAATAAATACATAAGCTGCTATCCTGCCCCTACTCCAAGCCCAAGGTCGCATAAATGGTTCTCTTCTTCCTCCATCTTCCTTTGTACGAGAACCCTGTGAGACAGTTTAGGCTGAGAGACAGCCATTGGCCCAAGGTTATCCAGTAAGTTTATTATTTATTTGATTAATTAATTTATTAGCTGCCCTCCCCAGTAGGTCCAGGCTCAGGGTGGTGTACAACATAATCAGATAAAACATCACATAAAACAGCTCAGGCTAAAACTGTCAAAGTTTCATGGCTGGGTAGGGATTTAAATCCGAGTTTCCCCAATTCTAGTAAGAAGGTCTAACCCAGGGATATCAAACATGCAGACTGGGGGCCGGATCAGACCCCCGGAGGGCTTCTATCAGGCCCACAGTGGAACTGGCTGTCTTCTCCTTCTTCTTCCAGTTCTGCTGCTGCTGCTGTATCATTGTAGGTTTGCAGCTTACAGATACACACCTGAACAGCATACTCAAGATTGCAACAGCACAGACATTTTGATGCAATAATTCAGAGCAAGAGGTGTCAGTTATCAGACACTGTTAAATAAACAAAATATTGCAAGAGTGCTAATGTAAAAAAAACCCTTTGTGTTTGTGTCCTTTATAAAGTTTATATCTCCGCTACCTGGCGTTACATTTTATGACACACATGGCCTGGCCCAATAAGGTCTCATTTATGTCAGATCCGGCCCTCATAACAAATGAGTTCAACACCCCTGCTCTAACCATTACACAAACCAGCTCCCTAATATATAGGTAGTCTATAATATAAAATTGAAATGTGGTTATTCAAGAAACTAGCAACCCCATCCTATTGGCTGCTCAGTTGTGGTTATGGCCATACTAACATAAAGGTCAACAAAGTAAGTGGGACAACCTGTTTCATTTCACTGATGCCTGTTCCCAGACTTGCACTCCAGCAGCTAATAGCACTCTTGTGACAACAGTTCGCTCTGCTCTATTAACTGGTAATGACAATTTATTGTTGTTTAATGGCCTTCAAATTCCGTTAACCCACGTATAGATGACCCATTAGAACAAATCTTTAACTTGCCAGAGCACACAAGTGAATATTTGACAGCTGTTCATCTACAAAAACTAGGGTTGTATTTGCCATAAGAGGAATATTGTGGCATTTTGTTTTGGTTCTTATTCAAATTAACTCCTCCAGGCTCCAAAGTGCTTACCCAAGTTTAGGGTTGACAGCAATAGCTGCTGGTTGGTCCAGAAGAGAGTACACGAGCCACTTCCTGTACCTCCCATCAAGCTTTGCCACCTCTATCCGATTCGTTCCAGCATCAGTCCAGTAAAGATGCCTAGTTTAGATGCAATCAAATAATTAGCAATCTATATAATCACCCATCGGAGTACAAGAAAGTCTTTTTGTCTTTAAATATCCAGCAGTCAAATAAAAGCAATCATAGATAATACAAAATAACCTGAATGTGTTACAAAGATCATTCTACCACTTCTATTTTTGACCCTTACCCATCTTGGTGTACAGCTGGACGCGAATGCCTGGCTAGGTTACCATAGTAGTAAATGCTTCACTGAAGGAGAGAGTTTTGCCAGCCATCTCAAAAGAGATGGGTGCAAGTCCCTTTCCTTAAGAAGCCCTCCTTAAACCCTGAAGATTTAAATAACTCTCAGCCAGTAGCAAATATCCCTGTCTTCAGCAAGGTGCTTGAGTCAGTGGGGATCACACAACTCCTGGCTTTTTTTTAGACGTAACTGATTATCTAGACCCATTTCTGTCTGCTTTCAGCCCTAGTCTTGTTAGGCTGTTTTTTTGGTTGGGAAAAAGACAGGGGCAAATGAGTCCTCCTTAATTCTTCTGGCCTTCTCAGTGGCTTTTGATGCAATCACTTATGGTATCCTTATGGACTGGTTAGCTAAGAGGGGAAGTGGGAGCACTGTATTCCATTGGTTCCACTCCTACCTGGTGTTCTGGTGCCATAATGTGGTGACAAGAGACAAGTGCTTGACCCTATGGTATTTAAAATACAAGCTCTCACAGGGCTTCATTCCACACCCCATGCTGTTAAACAACTACAGAAAAGGGCTGGGACAAGGGATCTGGAGATTTGGTCAATATACAGATGTCATTCAGATCTATTCCTTCTTTTTTCAGATGACTCAGATGAGACAGTAAACATCCTTTACCACTGTCTATAGAGTTGATAGTGGACTGCTTGACAGCCAATAAACTGAAGTTTAATCCGGATAAAACAGAAGTGCAGTTGGGCCAAGCAAGGTTTGGAGTGTCTACTTGTTCTGGAGGGGGCAGGGTTTGAACTCCCCCTCAAGGAGCAAGTGCATTGTTTCGGGTGCTTTTGGCTCTAAGGCTACAGATATAGGTGCAAATCTCCCCTGTAGCATATAGTACCTTTAACTAGGGGTGTGTGCTTGGTATATACTGAGCTGAATAAATACCTGAAAAATACCTTATTGGTATTTTTCAGGTATTTATTCAGCCAAATACAGATTAGACAATCTGATTCGACTACCAAAATAGCCATGCCCTTTAAATGCTTTCTGAACTTGCCTAGTCGTGCCGCCGCTGTGGCACAACTCGGCGAGTTAAATTCTCCATTATATCCTATGGGGACGGTTGCCATAGGGTATAATGGAGCTGAATAAATTCAGATTCCTGAATATTTACCTGAATACCAATACAATACTGATACTGGTATTCATGAATATTCAGGAATACTGGTATTTTTTGGGTCCAATAGACCCAAATCAGAAATAACTGTTTGCGGGGTTTTTTGCACACCCCTACCTTAAACCAGCTTTGGCTGGTTCACCAACTGCAATTCAACTGGTTCAAAGTGTGGTGGCTGGGTAGCTAGCAAGAACATGTTTCAGGGATCACTTCACAGCAGTTTTAAAAGCTTTCCACTGGCTGTCTGCTTGTAGCTCAATGTGGTGTACATGGTACCCCCTCAGCTTTATCCTTTAACTGCCTCCCCCCATGAGGCAGGTTAGGCTGAGAGAAAATGACTGGCCCAAGGCTACCTTGTGAATTTCATGGTTATTACTTAGAAAGTTCTACACATAGTGTGGTCAGGGTAACGCAAAGATTGAATTCTCCTGTATGAACCTACACATATGTCTTATGTGAGCAACAGAACTTGGGGCTAAAAAGAGTTCCCCAATATTTGTCAAGTTTTTACTGCATTCAAAGATGACTAAGATCTCCTGAACATTTTTTATCTAGCCTTTGTGCTTACCTTCCAACCCAGTCCACCGCTAAACCAACCGGACTGACCAAATATTTCAGATTTAGATCAACTTCTTTCACAGGATTATTCCCACCACTTTCAAATGTGGGGATATAGGCACGTTTGATGGAACCAAACTCTGCACCACGTCCCATAATGCTGTAGTATACAATACCTGCAGGACGTTAAGAGATTATTTTCATCATCATCATCATCATCATCATCATCATCATCATCATCATCATCATCATCATCATCATCATCATCATCATCATCATCATCACCATAGTTATAGTTCACCTTTCTCACTGAGACTCAAAGTAGATTAAACAGCGGAAGTAAGTAACAGTTCATATAAAGAGATGTCTAATAAGCACAGTCTAATAAGCATACAATCAATATGAGGAGACATCTAATGACCGATATTTTAGGGGTGGGGCTGTGACTCAGTGGTAGAGTATCTGCTTGGCATGCAGAAAGTCCTAGGTTCAATTCCCAGCATCTCCACTTTAAAAGATGAGGTAGTAGGTGATGTGAAAGACCTCACCCTGAGACCCTGGAGAGTCACTGCCAGTCTGAGTAGACAGTACTGACTTCAGTGGACCAATGGTCTGATTCAGTATACGGTAGAAGAGAAGAAGAAGAAGAGATTGGATTTATACCCCGCCCTTCACTAGCTTCAGGTGTACAGAGGAGGGCAACCAAGATGATTAGAGGGTTGGAGCACCTTCCCTATGAGGAAAGGTTGAAGCGTCTGGGACTTTCCCGTTTAGAAAAGAGACAACTAAGAGTAGACATGATAGAGGTTTGTAAAATTATGCATGGTGTGGAGAGAGTTGACAAAAGGAAATTTTTCTGCCTCTCCCAAAATACTAGAACTTGAGGGCATCCAATGACGCTGACGGGCTACTGGTTCAGGGAGGACAAAAGGAAATACTACTTTACACAGAAAGTGATTAAAATGTGGAATTTGCTGCCAGAGGATGTAGTGATGGCCATAAGAATATAAAGCTTTAAAAGGGAATTAGACAGATTCATGGAGTCTATCAATGACTGAGGGGAACCTCTGCATTCAGAGGCACTAAGTCTCTGAATCCCAGAGCCAGAAGGCAACATCAGGGTAAGGTCTCGGTCTCTATATCCTGTTGTTGGCCATCCAAGGGAACTGGCTAACCACTGTGTGAGATAGGATGCTGGACTAGATGGATTACTGGTCTGATCCAGCAAGGCTCTTCTTATGTTCATATATGCCCGTATGTGACTAGGATTACCAAAATCTGAATGAGCATAGCATATTAGACATGATACGGCGCGTGAATATAATAAAGGAAAATGATATTACATCAGTAGAAGACAATGAAACAACAATTATGCTGTCATTAGAACATTCATTATTTGCTTGGCCAGCTCTTGGCCTGCCAAAGCCCCAAGTCAGTCAAACGCTTTACTTCCAGAGAATCTAATACCATTCTCCTCTTGCTGAAACCTTTAATGAGTATCAAACCTAGGCATCTTTAATGACAGAAAATCCCATAATGGCCAAAGACTTGATAGCTTAATACGAAATACTGTGTTCTGTAGAATCACTAGGGTTGTGAAGAGCTTTACCGTAATGCTGGCAGGATAGAGTAAGCTGCTAAAAGAGGCTTAAGTACAAAAATTAAGATAAGGGGCTGCGACCAAGTTGTAGAGCATCTGCTTGGCATGCAGAAGGTCCCAGGTTCAATCCACGATATCTCCAGTTTAAAAAAAAAAAGAAAAAGGATGTGGCACTAGTTGACATGAAAGACCACTACCTGAGTAGACAATACCAACCTTGATAAACTAATGGTCTAATTCAGTATGGCCGCTTCATGTATATTCATACATTCAACACTATCCATTTAAATCCTTTAGTACTGCTGATGTGTTTATTAGCACAGCATTCTAAGGGTGAAGGTGTGGCAATGGTGCATATAATGGACTGGGTTGTACGCTTGGATGGTACAGCAGCCACCACAGCAGACCCAGAAAATGTCACTGCTGAGGTTCAGGGGACCCTCCCTAACAACATGGCAGGCAAGCTTCAGCAAGGAGGAGGAATCTCCTCTTTTGTGCAAACAGAAATGGAGCTTGGTTGCCATCAGTAGCAGGTTTCCCAATGGCTCAACGCAGGTCATGGGAATTGCTTCTGTGTAGCTTCCTGTCATTCTGCCCCAGTAATAATCTCAGATGAAAGAACCTTGTGGATGGGATAGTGGTACAATTCCACACTGTGCTACATTTAGTCTCTATGGGACCACAAACGTCTAGGGGCAGCAACCACATCATTGGTGCTTGCTGGACAACTTATCCACCCAGACCTTACCAAAGGAACGTGAGGAAAAAGTCACAAGGAAGCTGCCTCTATATCCTACAACATCTTCTGTCTCAAAAGGAAAATCTAATAACAAGGATAGCTAAGAAGACTAATATTTCTCTCTTGAGCTGTGAAGTGATTTACAATCTCACTCTCATGATTGCCCTCTGAGGTTAGACACTAATTATACCCATTTTATAAACAGGGAACTGAAGGTAAGAGATTATGACAATCTCAATACCACAGACTTAATCTATAGCAGCAGTATTTCTAGATAACTAGCCTCGTGGACTGAAATCTATCTTGATGTCCATTTGACACCAAACGCCAGTAAACATACAAGATGAGGAACAGGAGGTTGAATACATACGAGGAACTCATCTACGCAATCAGGATTGTTAATATAAGAAACTTACTAGTAGGTAAAAGATTAAAGCCATAAATATACTCACTGAGGCCTATACCCTCAGGGTCCCAGTCATAGTCTATAGCCTGGATGTGCTCCTCATCATCAATATAGTCAGAGTATTGCTCTGATGACATATTATACCTCCGAATGCGGACATTATCAGGCAGAAGCAATACTGGAGGGTTACCTGGAAGAGATAACAATATATTTATATTGCAGTAGACATATAACAATATATAACAATACATACAATACATATAACAATATATTTATATATGCAGAAGAAATTACTGATGCGTCTAACACAAAACATCTCACCTCCCGTCGATCTACATTTTTATCCTGCCTTTCCTCCAAGAAGCCCTTGGAAACCTTTATTGCTACACTTCTTCAACTTTATCTTCACAAAAATCAGTGAGATAAGGCGGACTGACAGTCAGTGACTATCCCAAGGTCATCCAGTAAGCCTCATGGCTGAGTGGACACTTGCACTGGGGTCTCTCTACTTTAACAGCAGCCATTGTTGCATGCCCTGCTCATCCGGTTGGCAGCAGCATGACTGGGCTCTCTGTGGAAGGGCTGGGCACCCTCCAAGACTGTTCATAACACTACATTGTGCAGCCAGTGTCACTTGTTAGCCTAGTGAGGCAACAGCAGAAGCAAGCAATAGCAGTCATCAACATTTTTTGGCCCTTGTCTGCAAAAGGAGCAGAGATCAAGGAGCCAGCGGTATGGCACACTGACTGGGGGATATGATGCAGAGGTTCCCCGAACATCTGAACCCAGCATTGCATATGGTAGGTAGGCAGATCTTTGGATTAGAAGAGTCTTAAAGAAGTAGTTGATGTGACCTCAAGAACTTGCATGTTTGATAGCAAGGATTCTGTTTTTTCCACCTTCTTAAAAAAGATGACCCCCTCATATTGGGAATATGGAATGATATGGTGTACCATACCATTGGGTCAGTACTTGGGTCAGTACTTGGAAGGGAGACCACCAAGGAAGACTCTGCAGAGGAAGGCAATGGCAAACCACCTCTGCTTCTCCCTTGCCTTGCTGGGGTCACCATATGTTAGCTGTAACTTAATGGCACATACCTACATATGCCATAGTGGGCTGGATCTTATCAAAAAGATCTACATGTGCAAAAGAGGACAACTCCTCCCTGCTTTGGGAAGGGAAACACAAGGAAGGTGTGCATCTGTGCATGGAATTTAAAATTACCATTACAGTACATTTATAGCCAGCTGTTCCACTGGGAAGGGAAACACAAGGAAGGTGTGCATCGGTACAGTACATTTATAGCCAGCTGTTCCACCAAGGTCAGGGCAGTATACATGTTCATGCTCCCAATCTTTTGATCTCACATCAGCACTGTAAAATAGCATAGGCTAAGAGATATTTTGTTGGATCCAGTCTAAATATTCCATTAGCAGAATGGAATTTTCCATGCTTTCCCCTCTCCGCATCCTACTGAACTCCAGGAAATCTCACTCCTGGGAACATAAAACCCAGAAGAATGACATCAAAGGAGTCAGCAGAAGGAAGGGGGAATTGGCAGAACTGCCAATTTAATGTGTATCCAACCCATTTATTAAATTTATATCCCACCTTTTTCCATCATGGAACTTAAGGTGGTGTACACAGGACATCACCCATCGATGCAGTGTAGACTCAGCATGAGAGACAGTCACTGGTTTAAAAAGACCTGGTGAGCTTCACACACAATAAGGAATTTGGGCCCTGGTTTCCCAGCTCAGTCCTCACCAGTGCTTTAGTTTAAAAAAAAAATGGCTTGCCATGAGAAGAACAGGTGGAACAAAACCAGAGGCCAGTGCCCCCCTTGGACACCTGGACCAACTTACAAGATGCCTTTGGATCCTGGTTTTGAACCGCAAGGCTTTAAAGCTCAAGATTCCTTTACACATTTTGACTTGACAGGCTTTAAATACTCCTAACATAATAATCACTTTACACATGGGATCTAGGTTATTTTTTGCAGACAACCCATACGATTAAAAATGTTTTTTAAAGCACGACTTCAATTCAGACATCATACAAAAACCAAGGTTTAACTAATTAATTCCAGTTATTGCGGTTGTCTGAATAAAAGTACTCTACAAATGATGGTTAGCTAGCTTCTATCAACCGGGATCTGAAACCACGGTTCGAAGGTGGTTTACTAACCAGTTAGTCTAAACTATGGTTTTGCGTGAGGTATGAATGCAGACATCACAGGTTGTTTCCCAGCATCACCCTCATCACAATGCAAGCTGGGATACCAGCCGCACCTCTGCCAGGGAGGCAGGAGAGAGAGAGTGAGGGTAATTAAACTAGTGTTTATTAAGGCAAACCAGAATGTGAATGTGGTGTAGAGACAGGGTAGTGTGGTGGTTAAGAGTGTTGCACTAGTATCTGAGAGTCCTGGGTTTGTTCAGTTCAGTTTACTTTTACAGTCCTTAGACATACAAAAAAAGAAGTGTACCTTTACAATATTCAAAATTTTTAAAATACATCAATCCTGGGTTTGAATGCCCACTCATGCCATGGAAGCTTGCTTGGGGACCTCGGGCCAGTCACACTCTCTCAACCTAACCTACCTCACAGGGCTGTTGTGAGGATGAAATGGAGGAGAGAAGAATTATGTAAGCTCCTCTGGGTCCTGGGGGGGGGAAGGTGGGGTACCAATAAATAAAATGAATGTTTGTCTGCAAGCCAAATCACGGTTACACAAAGTAACCTTAGTTAAAATAAACAGTGGTTCCATGTTATGTCTGATTCAAGCCAGTGTGATCTTGCATTGTTCATTATATAATACAACAATGTACCTCACTATCGCTGCTCCCTTTGCTTTTTTAGGGTCTGAGACAAGGTTCTACCTACTCAAATTATATCACACATCAAAGTCACAGGCATGACCTAAAAAGGCCCATGACTCTTTTATGTGACAGTATTTGAGTGACTGATGTTATAAATGGGCTGTGCTCTGTCTCTTTATGCTCATTAGTCCATGAATCATTAGTGACAATCTGTCAGCAAAGCGTCATTGATTTATATCAATATAATCTGCCTTTAGAGAAATTGCTGCAACATTAATTTTCTCCCTGCTGACAACTGACTACAGAATGAACAGGCCTCTTGTTTTCTAGAAACTTGCAAGGAAGTTTGGGGGGGGGGGGACACCTTAATCAAATGCGAGAGTCTACATTTCCCCCCCAGCTTCAGTAGCCCAAGACTTGACATTGGTTTTACCTATGCTTCTACACAAGTGCACCGCGAAATAAAAACACAGCAAGGAGAGACAGCATAACATAGGTGAAGAGGGAAAGCTGATCTCAGAAGGAAGTCCAGCGTGTGTATTTTTAAAGCACCCCTCAATTTCTACGGCAGAGCTTACCAGTGGCTGCACACTGCGTCCCCTGCTGATCTCCAACAGATCTAAATCCCTCTGCACAGAAACATTCGTAACTCCCTTTGGAATTCTTACAAATCTGTGGGCATGTTCCAAAGATCTCGCACTCATTGATGTCTGAAGGCAAACAGAAATAAACATGAGTTTTACGGTTTGGTTTTTTTTTTAACATTTAAGAATAAAAGAATTGCCATGCTGGACCAGAATCCAACACTCCACATCATTTTCTTCTCCTTCTTCGTTTCTTTGTTCTATCTTTCTGTCTTTGTTCTGTCTTCTCACTGTTACTGGTCCAGTTCTTTGTTCTCTCCTCTATGACTCCTCCTAGCTCTTCGCCCACTTAAAGGTTTGGATCCAGCAATGTGTAAATGAAAGCAGAAACAGATCTGGCACCATTCCACTTGCACATGATCTTGTGCAATACTTTATGATGTCCAGAAGTTCCTTGTTCAACATCTTGAGCAAGTGGGGAAATGGTTCAGGGTATGCTATGTTTAACACAGCACAAGGGGCTGGTGTCAGGTTTTCTTCACATTTTGACTTGCGCAACCGAAGCACACGTGGACATTGTCCAATGGGTCTTTTTTGATTGCCGTCCCCCAGCTCTGGACTTTTCTTGCATTTCCTAATATTCATCTCCTTTTGTCTCTTCTTCCCTTTAAAAATATTTAAAACTGTTTTTCCTTTTCTTCTTGATCTTAGTTTTCTCTTTACCTTCCTCTGTTTCAGTTCTCACTGCCAACCTTTACCTTACTCTTCCTGTTCCTATTCACAGCACTAACAACTATAACACTACCATCTATTTATATACTAATCTCTTTTAATCATTTCTGTCTCAGTCTTTCTGTCCAGGGTGCTCAGGGTGGGCAATTAAAATAATATAAACAATTTTAAAGTACCAGCACAAAAGCAATTAAATATTAAAATAGTGCCAGTAAAGCAGACCTCAGTTACACTAAAACAAGAAGCAATGACAATTAATTTCTTAACAGCTGGAGAATAACAGCCTCAATAAAATGAAATTTAAAATAAACCAATTTAAATTTTATTGCTAACTGTCACCAAAAGACTTAGTAGCAATAATTTCAAACTAACAAAGACCAAATGATAAGTCAGAAACTGGCTAATTCCACATGGGGATTTTTAAAAAAAAAACTTATGCCTTAAATTTTTATCCAGAGCCTTCAAAATGAACCTGATTCACTGCGCTCCTGGGACTTTCCCCTTTAAGCCAGAGCAAACAATCCCCCCCCTCCCCAGCCTTTGCTCTGATTTATGGGGGACACAACACAGTGGCTGCAGAGACAGCCTCCATGGGAAAGCTCTGCCTGCAGCCAAACCACAGAGGGGCCCAGAAACTAGCACCAGTTTCAAAATGGCAGCACTAAACTCCATCATCTCCCATCCTTTTAACCCTTTAGCAGGGCTTTTCCCCCCTACAACAGCTGACAAGCAACTCAACTGTTGGGGAAGGAGGGACTGCCATGCCCCCGGGGGTGGGTGGGTGGATTTTTGTCAGGTCAGTGCTGATACAACAAGGAGGGATGTGGTGGGAAGAGGTAGCGCTAGCAGCCAATAGTGCACAGATGGGACATGGAGACATCATTCCTATGTGCCTCGTCTGAGTAGCTGCCACTTCCACAACAGGTAGAAAGGAAACAAACAACCGTGATGTATTGTGCCAAAAAAAATCTTCACAGACTTTATTTATTTTTATTTTATTTATTCAGGTATTTCTACCCCGCCCTACCCCGCGAGCGGGCTCAGGGCGGCTTACAAAGGCATAAGCCCTTTGAAAATTCTTTTTCCAATATTCAGTTTACTTGAAGCAATTCAAACTGAACCATGCACATTATATCTCGTTTCATGTATAACTTTATCAAAGCGGGTAGCGTTGAAATACCTATATAATATTAATCCATTTGGCAGACATTCTAGTCATATCTCCTAGTATTCTGCCTTTCCTTGGAACTCAAGGCCAATTTAGGAAGAAAAATGAATGTACTCTGAAGATTCTCCAGGACAGGAAAGTGATAGAGATCTAAAATAATTTATGAACTGGAATCTAAATGCTATGAAAGAAATACGATTCTACATAACAAAAACCTCAAGGGAGGCTTTTTTTTAATGGCATAATGAAAGTGACAAAAGGATTTATTAGAGCAACACATCATTGAACATTCCCAAGACAGAAAACAATCTGAAGATAGAAAATACCATCACAGGTGTTTCTATTCTGTTCACTGGGCCTATATCCTGGTCTGCAGGTACATATAAAGCTTCCTTCGCTTAGGTTGGTACAGTTGTGTTCGCAGATATTTTCAGCACAAGTTCTACCTGTTCCAGAGTCTAAGAGGAAAGAGAGTCACAATTTTTATTTGAAGGCAACAGCAGATATAGAAAGAATTCAAATCAATGAGAGCCCACCCATAAGCAGCATAGCTGTCAACAAGATTATCAATAATGACTGGTAACTTTTTCTGCCCCATGTTATTGCTATTTTTGATGGCTATTGAAAAGGTATAAAAGGTGCAACGAACACCGCCAGACTGCACTGCACTAGAAGTTTCTGATTCATCTGTTGCACAGGGCTGAATTGCAAAGGAATTTTCTTGAACACTGATGAGCACCGAAAGATCCCTCCCCATGTTCAATTATCTTTACAGATCATTACACAATGAATAAAAGTGTTTGCCAATTCAGAAAGCATTGTCCTAAACAGACTTCATTTGCCCTCATATTCCTGATAGGCTAAGATTCATGTGGCCAGTATAGGAAACTTTGCTTTAAGTAGGGAATAGATTCTTCTCCACTGATGTTAGCATGACTAGCTACGTAGTGTAGGTTGAGATCCCTCAAAAAGGGTGACAGAAGCCCTAATATAGGGAAAACTATTGCCAAAGCAGGGACAGACTGAGGAAATAACGGCAGCGGATATGTAGAGGGCTTTCGGGAACTTTTCAGAGTGCCTAAAATCACTAAAAATCAATGAGAGCCCACCCATAAGCAGCATAGCTGTCAACAAGATTATCAATAATGACTGGTAACTTTTTCTGCCCCATGTTATTGCTATTTTTGATGGCTATTGAAAAGGTATAAAAGGTGCAACGAACACCGCCAGACTGCACTGCACTAGAAGTTTCTGATTCATCTGTTGCACAGGGCTGAATTGCAAAGGAATTTTCTTGAACACTGATGAGCACCGAAAGATCCCTCCCCATGTTCAATTATCTTTACAGATCATTACACAATGAATAAAAGTGTTTGCCAATTCAGAAAGCATTGCCCTAAACAGACTTCATTTGCCCTCATATTCCTGATAGGCTAAGATTCATGTGGCCAGTATAGGAAACTTTGCTTTAAGTAGGGAATAGATTCTTCTCCACGGATGTTAGCATGACTAGCTACATAGTGTAGGTTGAGATCCCTCAAGAAGGGTGACAGACGCCCTAATATAGGGAAAACGATTGCCAAAGCAGAGACAGACTGAGGAAATAACGGCAGTGGATATGTAGAGGGCTTTCAGGAACTTTTCAGAGTGCCTAAAATCACTAGTGATTGTGCACCAACCCCCTTTCAACAGCACCTTATAGTTTTTCAAACATGATTAACGGAAGCAAGATTCACACACAAAGTTCGGTAAACAGCTAACTGTCTTGTAGCTTAGCCTATCCTGTACTTGAGGCAGCAAGCTGTCACCACAAAAAGTGCATCTGTCAAGCATGGGGTGGAGGGGAAGTTAATAAACCACCAACCCAATCTCATCAGATCTCAGAAGCTAAGCAGGGTCGGCCCTGGCAAACCACCTCTGAACATCTCTTGCCTTGAAACCCCCACGGGGTTGCCATAAGTCAGCTGTGACTTGACGGCACTTTCCAGCACCACATTTATTGACAAACATGTGAGTGAGGCACTCTTTTCACAGTGATGCTTGTAAACTGATGTATGTTTATGTGATTTCTGTTGTATAGGGTATGAGGAAATCACACAGACAGGATCTCTGAGAGACAGGGTGTCATTTTCAGGGGTGAAGGTCTGTAGGCAGGCAGCTAATCAGGCTGACATTTTGTTTTGTTTTTTGTCCATACAGTTCTGGCAATGACTTAGCAGTCTGTGACCAGCTCCATCGGCAGCTAAGCAACAAGGTGCTCACACTGAGGATCCGAGACAAAGTGAAATCTTGTAGAAAGCCAAGACGGAACTTCACAGGCTACTCAGCTTACATTGTCCCCACTAGAACTGAAAACTGCCATACATCGACTGGTCCCCAGGACTAGTAGAACAGTGTTGCAGCAAACAGCAGGACGCCAGTATCCTCCACTTACAATCTGCCACTTCATATTCTTCATTATTGATTGATAAATGTTCAAAAATGTTAAAATAGTTTTTACTGTCACATAATAGACTTTTGAGGCTACTTGATCCTTATCTCTTGTTGTTGCTTGTTTAATGCTTTTGATGTTCATTGTTGTTAATGATCATTTTTAAACCAATAAAAATGTAAATCATAAAATTTTTTGGGTTCTGCTGCTGCAGTCTCCACATTGAAATAGCTACTGTCTTACAGTCACTGGAGAGGGGCACCAACCTTATGGTCTTTCAAGGTTGTGGTGGAAGAAAAGAGTGCCCATGCTCAATAATTAAATTAATTAATATGATAAAAGTTACATTCCATGCTGCTTTTTTCATCAAAGGATGGCCTAATCAGGCTGACATTTTGTTTTGTTTTTCGTCCATACAGTTCTGGCAGGGACTTAGCAGTCTGTGACCAGCTCCATTGGCAGCTAAGCGACAAGGTGCTCACACTGAGGATCCGAGACGAAGTGAAATCTTGTAGAAAGCCAAGACGGAACTTCATAGGCTACTCAGCTTACATTGTCCCCACTAGAACTGAAAACTGCCATACATCAGCTGGTCCCCAGGACTAGTAGAATAGTGTTGCGGCAAACAGCAGGATGCCAGTAACCTCCACTTACAACCTGCCACTGGAGTATGAGAGGAAAATTTGGGGTTCTGCTGCTGCAGTCTCCACACTGAAATAGCTACTGTCTTACAGTCATTGGAGAGGGGCACCAACCTTACGGTCTTTCAGGGTTGTGGTGGAAGAAAAGAGTGCCCATGTTCAATACTTAAATTAATTAATATGTTAAAAGTTACATTCCATGCTGCTTTGTTCAACAAAGGATGGTAAGTACGGTGGTTACTTACTGCAGCCTAGTTCATCAAAGTGATCTCCACAGTCATCATAATTGTCACAGACGTAGTGCAGTGGGATGCAGTTTCCATTGCCACACTTGAATTCTTCACTGGTGCAAGGCTTAGGAGTGGGTTCTCTGCCTGCATGCAGAAGACACACTCACGCTGTAGGTTATATTAGGTAAAGTGCATATAACATATCTTAAAGTACCTACATCTTAAAGTACCTAGTACCTAAAGTACTTACATACATATGCATACTTTAAGTACCTAAATTAAGGCAACTTGGCCAGCACAGAGGGCCACTTTATCATGACTGCCTGGGCCATAGCGAATTTGAATATTTTGTTACTAATTTTACCATTTTTCATCAAGATGATGAAAGTTGATGAATACGTTGTGCTGCCACAACAAGTAAATCTCCATTTTGTCACACTCTCTCTAACCACCCCCTCCATCTTGGGTTGTGACCATCTTGTATTTCCCACTCACATGGGGCTCTGCTAATGTAGTTTCGACTCATATTACATAATAAAGCATGATAAGCGGGGGAATGTGATTTGGATCTGGAAATATTTGAAGACACTCAATAATGCTGTATTTGTAATGATTACCAATACTTCGATTCCAAATGTTATAGTTCTTGATGATTCGAATAATTCCTAATATTCGGCAGCTCACTGACTGATAGAAAGCAAGCTAGGGCTGCTTGCAAGAGGAGGAAAGTGAACCCTGTTCCTCAGACAGCCTCTCGCCTGCCTGACAAAGGGAACTGAAACCACTCCCCAGACAGCCTGACACCATGGGTGGTAGGAGCAGAACACTTAGTTTCCCTGACTGGTGTTGCCACAGTTTTGTCTAACAAAAAACATGGCAGAATTGGAGGTGTGCATGCAAGAGCTCTGCAAGCTGAAACAAGCCTACTGAATTATTGGGCTAGAAGGGGTCTGTCTGGGAAGGTCTGGCCAAGGTGGCAGTGGGAGTAATGTCTTGCCCACCAACCAGTGTGCCCACTGAGTGGGTGTTCTCTTGGGCAGGGGACACTGTCAGTCCACACCATTCACATCTGGAACCTGGATTTCTTGCAAAACTAGTTTTTCTTAAGGTCAATCTACCCATCGCTGGGCTTTCCTGAGCTCCCCTTTGAATGAGAGAACAGCACACTCCAGTTCACAGTACAGGGTAAGCCATGCTTCAGTCCGTTGCCTCTTTCTGCTTCCCCTTCCCTACTTCTAATTACTACTCCAGGACTGTGCTGTGACCAATGCTGTTGAGATAATTCCTACCCACCCATTCACCCTCACTGTCTGTCTGCAGCTCCAGTCTGCTGGCTAGTGCTGCTCACGGTATTTACTAAATCTCCACAACCAGCTGTCAATTGTACCATACCCAATGCTGCCCTAGTGGCATTTGCACTGATCAAGCTTTATGTCCAGATTGCAATCAATTGTCAACACCTGGCACAGCTGGCTGGCAATAGTGGCTGATGCTGTGTACATCTGCCACATCTTCTCAACACTTCAGGGTTGGCATAGGAACTGGGAAAGGGTCAGATGGCTGTGAGAAACCTTTTAAAAAGTGGTTTGCCTTTTAATGTGTTTTTTAAAGTAGAAAGTGGCTATTTCTATGGAGTTGAAGATACTTGGACATTCTGGATTTTCTAAATTCTGACTCCGAAGGGTCCTAATTCCGAATCTGGATTCTGGATACAGATTTTGGTGCTAGTGCACATTCCTAATGATAACCTAAGAGAGACAGGATCCAACAGTAGAATTTGATTCAATCGTTCGACTCAATGTGACTCAATCATATACTGAAGGCTTTCAGACTATTGTTCCAAGTATCGGAGGCCAATCAAGAAACACAAATACTCCCTTTTTCCTTGTCATATTCCTACCTCACAAAGGAGATTCCCCCAATGACATCAGCCTCTAACTAATGAAATTTTCATCTTCCACATGCTGATGAAGTAACTAAACCTCTTCCTTTGGATGCCCCTCCTTCTTTTAGGGGCTTTTAGCAGATCCCAAATACCCCCTCTGACATACCTCCCTTGGAACACTTGCACTTACTGTGGCTATTCTAGAATCTGATTCTGTATTCAACTCCCATACTATTCTGACTGTTTCCATGTATTTTATTCTGCTCAAATATATGATAACTGTTTCCCTACTATATCCAGATCTCAGTTTTCTTTGCTAACTCGCTCAGGAACCCCATTGCTTTGTCACAGAGCCCTGGAAAAGAATGTTATGGTCTGAGTCTTGATTTGGACACAGCCATATGTTAAAATCTAAGTCCGCAGATCCTGTTAGAAGTACGGAATGGAGGAAGAGTGCTTTGTTCTGTTTGTTTTTTGGGGGTTTTGCTCAGGACTGACTGTATTTGTGACACTTTTGATCCAGTCAGGACCATTCACATAGATGAGAGATTTACTGGATGAGAGGCAAAGATGTCTCCACAAATAAAATATCCCAACACATAACCCATATGCAACTGTTCTAATAAAAGCAGGTTATATATATAACCTTATCTTATTTTCTCTCTTATTCTTGGCTATTAAGACCCACATTCCATAATGGCAGATAGTGGCATATTTCATGACAAGCACAAGTCCTTTAGTGTCCCTCTTTAACTGGCTGTGATCCAATTCCTAAGAAGGTTAGCAAACTCTGATAGAAACCTTAACCTAGGAATCACATTCACTTATCAGTCCTTAAATTTTATGTTCACTGAGAGACCTACAGTGTTCTTCTGCCTCATCGCTTCCATCTCCACAGTCATCTTCTTGGTTGCACAACTCGTGGCTGTAGATGCAGCGGTTATTTCCACAGCGGAAACGGAACGGTGACTCACAGACGATGTCCACTGAAATTAAACAGGTCAGTGATCTTCAAATCTTGTTTACAGGACACCAGTATAAAGGGTACTCTCAATGCAACCCTAATCCACTGTTAGAAGTGATTCCCCCGAATATTTTAGTCATATATTCTTTATAGCTATGGGACAATGCAGATGTGATGCATCATTTGCCTCAACTATGGTTGGAGGGATTGAAAGCAGGCCGAAGGATCATACATTCTCCCTGTGGTTAAACTGTTAGACTAGGGCTGGTGAGATCTGGATTCTTGTATTTATTTATTTGGTATTTATTATTTATTTATTAAACTTTTACCCCACCCTCCCAGCAATAGCCGGCTCAGGGCAGCTTCCAAAAATTTAGAACAACAATAAATAATATACTAATCATAAAATCACAAAACAATAAAACAACACAGTATTAAAAGGTGCATGCCTGGAAGTCATTGGGGGTGTGTGTGTGCATGCCTGGAAGTCATGGCTGACGTCTGGTGATCCCAAGTGGGGCTTGGAGGCAAGGGATGTTCAGAGAGGTAGCTTGCTATTTCCTACCTCTGTGTCACAGCCCTGGTATTCCTCGGAGGTCTCCCATCCAAGTACTTGCCAGGGTCGGCCCTGCTTAGCTTCCGAGATCTGATCAGATCGGGCTTGCCTGGGCTGGATTCTAATCACCACTCAGAGCTCAAACAAACAAGATGAAGATCATACGTCTTGTTCTCCGAAAACTTGAGGTCACATGCAGCCTCAATTTGCCTCTGGGCCATGCAGGAAGAGAGATGAGGTTCAATCTTCATTTGGTTGTACTCAGTGGAAATTAGGCTCCCTGCTTTATTAGAATTTTAAAGGGCAGAAATATATCCTTTAAAAACATGCATATTTCTCCTTTCAAAGACTAACATCTGCGTTCCGGACGCCACTTTCAAACAGTGAGACAAAGCTTCCTCCCCTGTGCGTTGCTGAGACATATTTAAGCGGTACAAACCTACGACTTTATATTTTATGGGCAGAACATGACATGAGATTTTTATGTTGTTTGTTTGAACTATTAACCATGAAATTCAGTGAGTGATCTTCAGCTTTTCTCACTCTCTCAGCCTAATCTATCTCACAGGATTGTTGTCAAGATAAAGAAGGGGAGAGCCATGCATACAGCCTTGAATTTCTTGGAGGATAAAAGTGTGACAGTAGCTAGAACACAGCCCTGTCCATCACCAAGTCCCACTGCATATTTCCATGTTTGCTGTTATATGTAAATAATATTAACCATGGTTAGCACAAGCCATGGGGTGCCCTAAAATTACCTTCTAGAAACTATGTTCCCTGTCCTGTAACCTAATTTTTAAATTCTAGTTAAACTACCTGTCATAGCTCCTCATTGGGTTCTGATCACCTAAGCATCTTAACAACCAAGAGTATTTTCTTAGTTTAGTTTTTAAACTGAATGTAGGATTTCTCATAGTAATTGCAAACAACATTTACCTTTGCTTACCCAAGATGCATACATTAAGAAGACACAAACACCACTAAACACCACTAATTAATCAGGCATGCTTTTCCTTGAGATCTGTTCATTTCAGCCATAACCAATGCTTTATTGTGTACCCAAATCAAAGGGTGAAGTGAAAAAATAAAATAAATAAAATCAGGACAACTGATCAGTCAGCCCTGATTGACTGTTGTTTGTTCATTTACTTTATCGATCACTTAAAGGGTGCAGTCTGTCAAAATAACAGAACCCTAGATGAATGATTAAGGCCTTCTATATAGAACTGAGGGACTTTTTAGACTCAGTAAATTGTTCAATATCTTTATTCCTTTCTATCATCATTAAAAGGTACCCTAGTAGTAATACGGGATAATGATGTAACAAAAGATACACTGCATAGTACCTAAAACTGTAAACACGTTTTGCAGTGGCAAAAATTATTATTTGCCTTGATCTGGATTGCCCCAGCTTGCCCAATCTCATCAGAATTTGGAAGCCAAGCAAAGATGTCCAGGGTGGCTACGCAGAGGTAGATAATGGCAACCCACCTTTGTTCACCTCTTGCCTTGAAAACACTATGGGGTCGCCATAAGTTGACTGTAACTTGTTGGCACTTTCTGCCATCAGTTTTTACCCAAATGCTTTCCATATTACCCATATATTTTCTTTCCTAGATAACATACGTGCACTGCAATATATCCACCATGAGGGGAATATTTGAAGAGGGCAAGTATCTTATACTCTATTAGCCACCCGTGGCCCCCATTTGTGGCCATGTGGAGGCGAAACAAATTTTTCAGCAAACTTGGGGAACTCCCCAAGTTTGCAGAAAAATCTTAAATCATAAAGGGAATACAAAGTGGGATTTAAACCCCCCTGAAAGTTGAACAGCATCCTCTGTGCAAGCACAGACTTACCTCAGGCTGGCCGGCAGCGGCTGTGCAGCCCAGAGCTCCATGTTGGGTCCGCCAGCAGACGCGCAGCCTGCAAACTGTGCTGGGCCTGGCAGTGGCCGCACAAGCATCCTCTGTGCAAGCACAGAGAACACAGTTACCTCAGGCTGGCCGGCAACGGCTGTGCAGCCCAGAACTCCATGTTGGGTCCACCAGCAGACGCGCAGCCTGCAAACTGTGCCCCAAGAGCCACGCAGGGCATGCCGTCGCCACAGCCTGGGAGCCACACTGGGGATGCTGCCATCAGCAGTGCAGCCCAGGAACCCAGGGGCTGTGCCAGGCCTGGCAGCAGCTGCCGGAAAGCCTGGGGACCGCTTTGGGCCTGGCAGCAGCAGCCCTGCAGCCTGGGACTCTGTGCTGAGCCTGGTAGTGACACAGCCCCAGGGAGAACCCAGGGGTGACTCCAGGCCTGGTGGCAGCTGCCAAACAGCCCAGGGCTCCACGCTGGGGCCGCACTGGGCTCGACAAGAGAGTGGGGGGAAATGGGATTCCCCCTCCCCATGAGTCTTGCAGGCCCCCACTTGTTTCTCAGAATGTTTGCAGCAGGTAGCCTATAAGATACTTCACACTCAGAAACATCTACATATCGTTTAGTATCTACGTCACACATGTACCGACAATTCTGTAGGAAACATACAGGTTAACATCCAGAACTCCATAAACAGATATATTGTGAGGAGCCTTTCATCTTTTAGTTCTCATACAGCAGTCCTTTGTGCCATGTAACAAACTGTTTTCTGAACCTGAGAAGGATGTTTGTTATATGGTGGTGACAGAAGGAGAGGGGCTACTGTCCAAACACAAAAAAAATCCATCCACTGTGCATGCCCCAGTTCTTAAGCACCCCCCCTAAGGAGTTGTTGTGATTCTGTCCATAGCATCAAAATGTTCTCTAGCTTACAGCAGAGGTGAAGTTCCTCATCTGAGCCATCTCCACAGTCATCATCACCATCGCATTTCCAGTGGGACTGAATACAGACATGGTTTTTGCACTCAAACATCATGCGCGGACAGTAAGTGCCGTTTGGATAGCGAGTGGCTGGTAAAAAAAAAGAAATTCCTTGTGAATTCTACCAAGTTGACTCGGTCCTCTTCACACTATGTAGACGTTTGCAAACACTTAATTCTGTTTCTTCTATGATGGTCTCATTTTAGCCTTTCATTAACTTCTGCAATTGGTGGTATGACTGATATAATCCCATTCATTGAATATGTAACAACCTCACTTCAAACTGACCAGGAATTATGATACCTCACTCACTAAGTCATCCAGAGTACAAAGGGGAAGGGGTTTTATTCCAGTGAGACTGTGCTGAATATGAACTGAACACTACACTAATCAAGTATGAGCAAGAAAATAAACCAAGCAAATTTAAAATACTGTGTTCATAATTCAATAAATTAACAAGGTAGCAAAGGAACTCGTACATAGTCACTCTTGCATACCACTCTCCTTATTCATTTCTCCAGTCTACTTTGTTTGCAGGAAAGATCTATGCCTGAAATCAGGGAGATATGTGCTACCAATCAGGATACATAGCAGTGGGCCAACGGACTGTATCACTATGCTGACACTCTTTACCTCATCCTTTTTAAGAACAGATCTATGACACATTAGCTTATACTTTTTCACAGATATCAATGAAGCATGAAAGGTAATAACGCTCTTAACTTGCCAAACAGAATACTTTTACCCCAGATAAAAGAGAATTCTGACCCCCCCGTCCCCCTTGCCAAAGTTCTAGGAACTCACGACAAGTTGCTTCATCAGAGAAATCCAGACAGTCTGCGCTCCCATCACATTGGAACCGCTGTGCAACACAATGCCCGCTGTCACACTGGAAATAACCTGGATGGCATGTTCTTAAATCTAAAACAAAGAGCAACAAATCATAACTGAAACACCTCTTGTGAAGACAGGAAGTGCCAATTTATAATTTTATTGACTTGTTTCAAGCCAAGCTTTGGGATACTTGCTGCAATACACACCACAGTCACGTTCATCTGAATTGTCCTCACAGTCATTGTCATGGTCGCATATCCACCGAGAAGGAATACAACGCAGATTGTCACACCGATATTCACTCTCTGTGCATTCACGGGGACCTTGCGAAAAAACAAAACGCAATATGTGAATAAAGTGCATGAAAATGAGATGGGCATCTATGGGACAGGATGAATTCGCTGAACTTATCTCTTGCTTCACTACTTTGCCAGTGAAGCGTCTTGTGCCCCTCCAAGCTGCTTCAGAGGGTACAAGGAACCTCAGGAACAGAGTTGGCTGTAGTTCAAGGGTGAATCAGCTAAAAGGACTTCCCTCTTACTCAAGTTCTTTTACAAACAAAGCTACAGCTCATGCAAGACGTGGGACAATTTCTGCCAATTCTCCCATCCTGTTGTTATCACCCCATTTGCCACTCTTTTCCTAAACTCACTAAACTCAAGTCCCCAAGAGCAGCTTTTCTAGGGATATACGACTCCACAGGAAGGTATAAGAGGAAGTAGGAGAGATCCATTCTGTGAGCTGTTCACCATTCATAAGATCCAACCCACAGACTTGGGATTTCATCAATACCCACTTCCATGCAGGTTTACTCAGAAACAACTCCCATTCTCGGGCTTGCCTGGGTTATCCAGGTCAGGGCGTACCCTGCCACAAATTTTGTTAGTCTTTAAGGTGATACTGGACTCTAGCTGTTTTCTACTGCTACAGACAGACTAACATTGCTACCCATCTTAATATATAGTGTATGCATATATAGAGCGCATACATACATACATATGCCAGATTTTTGATTCCATTGGTAACATGTACAAGTATTACAAGATTAATACATTTTTCATATATGATACAACAGTGTTTGTAATAGTTGTTTTGCTTGCCAGCCAATTGCTTTTAATGTAGCACTTTAAGGGAGTCTAAAGGAACAGATCAAAAGACACAAACTATTTGGCAGTTAGCAGCAGTGTAGACAGTACTTCCCTGAAAAAGCTATCTGTACTGAAATAGTCTGAATGCATGGAAAGCAAAACCTACTGCAGTTTTGTTCATCAGACCCATCTCCACAGTCGTTATCTCCGTCGCACTTCCACCGAAGCGGGATACAACGGTGATTATTGCAGCGGAAATCTCCTGAAGGACTGCAAGTCATCTCCTCTGCAATACATACAAGTAATAGCCTAACTAGCCCATCAGCACATAAAAGCATGCTCAGGTTTGACTTTGAAAGAGCAAGGGCATAGTTTGGGGGGGGGGTCACACATGAGAAATGTAAAACACCAGGTGCTTCAAAGTACGTTTCAGTCACTTAGTAACACTTCGTTATTTATTATATTTTATGTCCACCTTCTTTGTCATCATAGTACTCAAGTTGGTTTAAATAGACTTCCCAGGAAGACTCCAATCTGGACACTCAACGGATCCGAAATGGTTCGCTTCAGCTATGGAGCTCTACAATATGCCCTCCAGCCATGCCCTGGAACCTCACATATATTATATGGAAGACAAGGAAAAACCCTGTAACCCAAGTCATCTCGTTGTGTCTTACTAGTGCAGAAAATAATGACATTCATCAAAATAAAGTGATGTTCTCATTTCAGTTCTGTCAGGGAGCAGCTCTAAGGTATGTCAGTGCAACAGCCTTTCCTCCAACAGGACAGCGTTTTTATTCGTAGAAAGGCAGAGGGTGATTTTTTTGCCAATTCCCCTCCCTTGCTGCAAACTCCAACTTTGTCCCTCACACGGTTCCTGGGTATCCATGAGGTAATTACAGAAACTTATTTAAATTACGGAAAAATCTTATGCAAAACCGGGGGACGCCGCCTTCTGCCGTCCTGCTTGTAACACCGGGATGCTCTGCAGACCTCAGACTGTGAGAGGGGAGGGGGCTTGGTTCATCCTGTTCCTCCTCCTCTCGCCCAAGTGGCCTCCAGTCTACAGCTCAAGTCCAAGGCGTCCCCTCTCTTGTCCGCTTTTGGAGCCTCATTCTATCCCCCGCTTTCCCTTGCGACGCTCCCCTTCCCCATGGCCCTTCCACTTGCCCATCACTGATTGCCCTGAACCACTGGCTCCCTGAGCCCTGTCCCGCCTCCGTGCCTACCCCACAGTATGGGCCGGGCCCACACTCCCAGCAAAGGCCACACACCTGTTAGGGGCAGGTCAGAATCATAGAATCACAGAGTTGGAAGGGGCTAATGCAGACCATCTAGTCCAACCCCCTGCCCAATTCAGGACCAGCCTAAAGCATCTCTGACAAATATTTGTCCAGCCTCTTCTTAAAAGCTATCAGTGAAGGGGAACTAACCACCTCCCTAGGCAGCTGATCCCACCTTTGAACCACTCTGACCGTGAAAACGTTTTTCCTAGTATCCAGCTGATATCTTTCTGCATGTAATTTAAACCCGTTGTTTTGGGTCCTATCCTCTGCTGCCAACTGGAACAGCTCCTTGCCCTCCTCCAAATGACAGCCTTTCAAATATGTAAATGTCCCCCTTCAATCTCCTCTTCTCCAAACTAAACATTCCCAAGGCCCTTAGCCTTTACTCATAGGGCTCAGTCTCCAGACCCCTGACCATCCTCGTTACTCTCTTCTGCACCCTCTCGATTTTGTCCATATCCTTTTTGAAGTCAGGCCTCCAGGACTGCACACAGTACTCAAGGTGCGGCCTGACCAAGGCAGTATACAGAGGGGCTATGACCTCCTGCAATTTAGATCCTATGGCCCTTTTAAAACAACCCAAGACTGAATTTGCCTTTTTTGCCACCACATCACACTGACTGCTCATATTTAGTTTACAGTCCACTCTTACCCCAAGATCTCTTTCGCATACACTACTCCCCAGAAACGTATCCCCCATCCAGTATTTGTGCTTGACATTTTTGTGGCCCAGATGTAATACTGTGCATTTATCTTTGTTGAATTGCATCCTGTTTGCAACTGCCCACTTCTCCAGAGTATTCAGGTCTTGTTGAATTTTAACTCTATCTTCTTGGGTGTCTGCTACTCCCGCCCGCTCTACCGGGTGGGACTTCTGCCCGCTCTGCCGGATGCTGTGGTGCAATGGGCCTCCTGGGGCCTGCCTGACAGAGATGCATGCCTGCCTTCGCAGGCCCACAGCAGCTGGCAGTAGGTCCACTTTGTACACTGCAGCAGGGGCTGCATCTCGCTCACTTGTGCTTCTGAGACCGGCCACCCCTGCCAGTGCTACTGCTTCAGCCCTGACTTCTCAAGCCGGGGTGTCTGCCTGGCTGACTCTCAAAGGCTGCTGCCACTGCAGGCATCCATCTGGCAAGGAGGTATGTACGGGGCTCAGGACAGCTGGGAGGAGACTTCCCAGGTCTCAAACCTTGGGCCTGGGCAACTTATAGAAAACTTGCCATATCTCAGAAGCTAAGAAGGGTCGGCCCTGGTTAGTACTGAGTTAGAAGACCATCAAGAGTGTCCAAGCAGAGGCATCCAAAGGCAAAACACCTCCGAGAGTCTCTTGTCTTGAAAACCCTACAAGGTCAGTATAAGTCGGCTGTGATTTGACAGCACTTTTTCCACCACCAATTACGGACTCGTAGCTCATCACAGGATTCTCGTCATCACACAAATAGCTTGTGTGACCTAATCTGTGAAACGGCTACGATTACAAAAGAATGGATCACATCAGTAGCACTAAGTCACCATCCATAATTTCAGATATTAAGTATTCAGGCCCTGAACATACCACAGCCTTGTTCATCACTGTTATCTCGGCAGTCATCATGGCCATTACACACCGCCCAGAATGGGATACAGCGATAATTTGTTCTACAGCTGAATTCTGTGTGATTATCACATCGGTAGGCAGGGCTCACTAAAATAAAAGAAAGATAACATTTTTGATTACTTTGAGTTTTAACTAGTTCTTTTTATGACAGATATAAAGCAATGCCAAGAACATGTTTCAAAGGGGTGTATAAGACACGTAAGATAGAGACGCCATCGCCAGCGTCAGATTTATTTATTTCTTAAATTAAGACCGTGTTTCCTCCCAAAGGATGAGTCCAAACTAATGTTTCCAAAGACGCAAGGACTCCTGTACATCAGCATGACTTTCCCGCCTCCCCCCTCCCATGGCAGTCCCAAATGCCCCAACTGGGAAGCAGGGAAATCACAATCCATGGGTGGAAGTCCACATACCTACAGAAATGGTAAATCTGGATGCAACCCAAAGTAATTTCTTGCAGGGAAATCCCCCCCCATCATAATGCATGTTTTTTTTAACTTCAGGCAGAATATTTAAATATTACCTCTGGGAGTTCATAGACAAATAACAACCTAAGTAGCTGACTGCTTAAAGATAGCCAATGAGAGGGAGTTCACCACCTCTCTAGGCAGCTGATTCCACTCTTACACAACTCACTGTCAAAAAGTTTTTCCTAAGATCCAGCCAGGACTTTCCAGCCCTTAATTTAAACCTATTATTGCGAGTCCTGTCCTCTGCTGCCAACAGGAACAGCTCCCTGCCCTCCTCTAAGTGACAGCTCTTCAAATACTTCAAGAGAGTAATCATGTCCCCCTTCATCCTCCTCTTCTCCAGACTGAACGTTCCCAAGTCCTTCAGCCTTTCCTCACAGGGCTTGGTCTCCAGGCCCCCGATCATCCTCATCGCTCTACTCTGCAGCCGCTCCATTCTGTCCACATCCTTTGAACTGAGGCCTCCAAAACTGCCCACAATACTCCAGGTGTGGCCTGACCAATGCAGTGTAGAGCAGGACTATGACGTGCCTGCCTTTTTCTCGTTCCTTGCAGAATGCAAAACTCACCCAGTCACTAGATCCTCCACTGAAGACTAGGATGCAGTGAATGTAAGGTTTGGTACCTCTGTACGTTGCCTATACGAACACAGTCAGGACAATGCCATTCAAATTGTACACTGAATATAAAGTAAGACAAGCTACGCTCTGCTTACTGCATTCATGAATCGGTTCATCAGAGTGATCTCCACAGTCATCATCCACGTCGCATTTCCAGGACTGGGGGATACAGCGGCCATTGTTGCATTTAAACTGGCCGGGAGGGCAGGTCCTGCTGGCACAATGAGAACTGTCCTCATCTGAGTTATCACCACAGTCATCCTCTCGGTCACACTGCCAAGCTTCTGGAATGCATCGTTTGTTGGCACACTGCCACTGATGGCTCTCACACTGGTGATTGGCTAAAAGAAACCATTATTGTGACACTAGAACCTTACCGAAAATTTCAAATACAACTTCATCCCCCCCCACCCCCAATTGCCTAAAGGACAAACGAAATGTTCTGAACGATAAGATGCTCAGTAAATGGAGGTATATCTAATACAAGGGGGTCCCCAAATCTTTTGAGCCTCTGGGTACTTTGGGAATTCCGACAAAGGGTGGTGGGTGCAACCACGAAATGGCTGCCACGGGAGGCAGAGCCAACCATGAAATGTCAGGGAGTGAGGTGATGCTTAACTCTAGTTGTACCTCATCAACATTTCAAGCCAAAGCTCTGCTTAACAGATACCTCTTAAACTGAACATATTCAGTGAAAGCTTTTGTGCTGTGACGGCAGCTGTTGAAGCAATACATACATATATATTTTTAAACTGCACAGCCAATCAGGTCTCCAATGGCCAGACAGAAGGCCTGCTGGGAAAAAACCCCATGTGGACCCATCCACTTTCTAAAAACACTTGATAGGCGCCACAAAAGGTGTCAGTGGGTGTCATAGTGCCCATGGATGTCGTGTTGGGGACCCTTCAGAGAATGGATAGATTAAGAACCCCAAAGTTCTAACATGGGGAGAGATCTAGGTATATCTAGTGGTATATCTAGTGGACTAAGATATATCTAGTGGATAGACTAGGACAACTAAAGTTCTGATACTGTGAAGGTTCTAGGTGTACCTAATAGACAGACTAAAATAATTAAAGATCTAATAGAATTTCTGCTGAATTAGAATATTGAACAAGTTTTTATCTGGTTGCCTGAGGGTAACGGTTCTCACATTTCAAGGTCTCTAATATTGGCTGTAATGAATAAGAGGGTAGTATTTATCTCTTTCAGAGGAAATCTATGAGAACTTGCCACGCACCACAAAGCACACGATCTTCATCAGAGCCATCAGGACAATCTGGCCGGGCGTTACACAAATAATGGGAGCTTGTACAATTGTTGTCGTTGCACTGGAACTGCCCGACATGACAGTATCTGTGTGGGCACGTGGAAGGTTCGTCAGAGCCATCCCTACAATCTCTCTGCCCATCGCATTTCCACCAGATAGGAATACACCTAAACAAGATAATTATACATATTTTGGTGAGGCAGTGGCATGTCAGTTTACTTAGAAGCAAGTTCAGTTCAGTAGGATTTATTTCCCAGGAAGTATTCTTAGGATGGTAACCCTAGCACCTCCCATCAAGAAAAACTAAGTGGAATTGGTACATGTTTTTTTGGTCCTCCTCATTCATTTACTAACTCCATCCTAATAAACCAGTCTTCTCTATAAAGTATTACAGTTCTACTTGCCGACTACTTTGTATACTCACATTAAGTCCATTTGTAGGTCAGTTCTAATATGTCAATCCTATATAAGCCCATGCTTCCCTCCAGGGTTACTTTCACTCTAAGTCTTGTTGTAGCACTCAGTCAGTTAGTCCATCCTTCTCTACAAGGGGGCTTCAGCTGAGAAGTTTGGGGCTTACAGGGTGCAGTGACATCCTTTATGATTACTCAACTGATGCTACATTGCTCCAAAGGCAACTATAGCACCACACCAGGCGCTACATTAGCTTCAACCCCACTACCCCGTCCCCAACCACAGGCATGACTCTACTAAGATAGGGAGAAAGGAAGTTGACAATTTTGTTGAGATTACTGGAAAGAACAAGGCTGTGAACTCCAGAAATGGCTTTGATAAATATAATGCCGGAGCATTATGAGCGAAATGATGTTTATATGTTGATATATATCCTAGCGACTGCTAGAATTTTGTTAGCCAAGTATTAGAAATTAGAAAGGACCCCTCCAAGAGAGAAATGGCAGAAATGGATAAATTAACACTTCAAGGAAAAGATGACAATATACACCTTAAAAGATGGTTGAGAGTATATAAATGGACAAAGGTTTATTATTTGCTATACTATATATTGTGGAAAATGTACAAATAAAATATTTTTTAAAAAAATCAAATGGCTACCCAGCTAAATACAATAATGTTAACAATTACTCAAGGAAAGAAGATGGGTGGACAATTGATAGCTGGATCACAACAGCAGCAGCACATCAGCATTCCTCATGAGTGACCACAGCAGCACTTAAGTATTAAGAACCAAGGTGCAAGATGGCATGGAGGTTGGAGGTTGATGTCAAAAGGAAGCAGGGCAGGCATCAACATACCCTGAGGGGCGGTGTTACTGATAAACTTACCTTTCACTGTCTGCACACAAGAACTGGGTGCTGGAGCACATGGGAAGGCAATAAGCTGTGTTGCCAAACTGCACTACCATAAAGTTATCTGGACATTCACAGGAATAACCGTAACCACCATTTTTTATTAGACACAGATGGGAACAGCCACCATTGTTGGTCCCGCAAGGATTACTTACTGGCAAAGAAAGAAAGGAATGTCTCATTATTCCTGAATAATTTCTGTTCTAAAATTGTAAAGAGTGCTTTAGTCTTTGGTCTGATTCAGCAACTCAGTTTGGGGTCAGTTCTAGCACATCATTATCTTACATCCACAGACAATACTGGACCTATTCCTTGTTGGTGCATGTAAGTTAAAACATTCACCTAGAACGGGTAATCCACTCAACATGTCCTAAAGCAATCCTACAAGTTGTATCCTTGCACTGTGGTGTAGGTTAGGAGCAGTGGACTCTAATCTGAAGAACAGGGTCGGATTCCCCACTCTTCCACATGAAGCCTGCTGGGTGACTCTGGGCCAGTCAAAGTTCTCTCAGAACTCTCTCAGCCCCACCTACCTCACAAGGTCCCTGTTGTGGGGAGAAGAAGGGAATGTGATTGTAAGTGGCTTTGAGACGTTTTAAGGTAGAGAACAGTGGGATTATAAAAACCTACTCTTTTTCATCCTGGATTACTTGACAGATCTTTTACCTGGGAACAGACATCAGATAATGCCCATAGGAAGAGTCTCGCTAGAGCTGACCAAAGATCAATCTGACCAGACATTTTGTTTTACACAGTAGCCAGCCAAATGCCCCAGCAGGCCTTCAACTGGGGCTCTGAGGCCAAAGTCATATCTTGTTGTCACCTAGCAACTGGGATGGGAGGCCAGCCATCACAGCTAACACTCACTGATGGACCTATTCTCCATAAATTTAACTATACATTTTTAAAAACTATTAACATCACTGAGCACCCCCAAATTCCAATATTCTGGCAGAGGGAGAAAATGTTCTCTCTGTCCCCTTTCTCCATCACATGCTCAGTGTTCTCTCACGACACTGGAGTCCTACAGAAAAGCATCAGTTGCCCATGGGATTTGGGATATACAAGAACAAAATATGAGGCTGAGTGAGCTGAGCCATAAACTCACAGAAACATTCTACTGCTAATGTAAAGTAGCGGTTAAGGAACTGGGCTATGATCTGGGTGGTTGCTGATTCAGATCTCGCCTCAGCCACAAACTCACTGGGTGGCCTTAGGCTGAGAGAGCTATTATCTCCCAGTATCAGTACCTCATATTCAATAAGGGCCTAACAATACTGGTCTAACTTCCCGGTCTGTTGTCATGGAACACTGCCTAAAAATATACAAGAAATGTTATTCGGAATATCTCATCAGAAGAAGAATCTGATGAGCCAAATTCAGGATCAAGCAATGAGTTAAATCCAGGACTACAGTACAAAATAAGTACATGGAAGGAACAGGCATGGGCACAACACTGCAGCAATCAGTCTGCCTTCAAGGCAATGTATGTGTCTACTGGCCCATCCAGTTTGGTCTTATCCGTTCTGACAAAACTGGGACACTCTGAGGTCTCAAGCAGACAAAGGTATTCCCAAAGACATGTTACTTAGCATCTTTTTAAATGGTGATACCAGGAGTTGAACTTTAGACTTTCAGCATGGAAGTATCTGTTCTACCACTGAACCACAACCTCTACCCAACACAAGGCTCCTTCTGTTAGGTTGCTACCTGGTTATCTAGAACATTCCTACAATATTTTTCCCTCATAACCAAGAGAATGGTTCCAAAAATCCAATGCACGGGAGTGAAATGTTTAACAAGAACCTCCATGTGCTCTCAGATTCCTGTTCTATTACTTGTCTTTTCTACATTCTCATTATTCTTACTTGAATGTTCCTGTTTCTTGGGGGGGGGGGTGTCCTGTTCCACTCATGTTTTGCTCCCTCTAGTGGTCAGTTCAATATTACCCTGGGATATGCCCAGCATAAAAACCTGCAGTTTAAATCTGCAGTGAGATATGCTGGACATAAAAGGGTATAATATAGAATAGACTACTATAGGGAGCAAAACAAATTTGGAACCAAAAAAAAAAGGAGGAAACAGGAACTTACATGGAAGGAAAATGAGGATGTGGGAAAGCTCCCTGAGACAGGGCCACACTGTGGTCATGGTCAGAGGACTGGGCTTTAAATATTGGTCAGACATGAACAGCAAATAGCAGAATTACTTCCTTACCGACAGGTTGCCTATATGGGTGGTATACATGGATATCAAATGGTCTGTGGGTGGTATTCACCAGAACAGTCCTGCCTGATCCGTTGTACTTATTTCCCTTTTCAACTGTTCTTGTGTTCCAGTCAGTCCAGTAGAGTGTGTCTTCAAAAACTGTAAGTGCAAATGGATGAGGTAATGACCCATCATACACAGTGTGGCGGTGTCGACCATCTAAGTCTGAGTACCTGTAGGAAGAATAATCAATGGGCAACACTGAGACAAAAATTGGAAAAGCATCAAAATGTCTGTGTTCTGCTTCTTCGTCTGTTGCCCCTTCTGCCAGTAAGTGATAGAGCCTTGTGTTTCGTTTGGTGTTCCCTCAGTGATTCCTCCTTTCTGCCTAATATTTTTAATTGTTGTTTTTGTTTTGTATGTATTTTAGCTCCTCTTTTAATGACAGCATTTGGGGGGCAATTTTAATGGTTTTTAAATGTGTTTTTATTATGTGCTTTTTAATTTGTTAGCTGCCTTGGTGGCCCTTCTGGGGGCAGGAAGGAGGGATATAAATTTTGTTAAAACAAACAAATAAATAAATAAATAAATATGGCAGTGTTCCACCCAAGCAATCGTTTTACTCTCTAAAGATTACTAGGTTTAGTACCCAAAGGTTTAACTGCTCTAAATGCATTGTATACACTGAACCTACAATGAACTCTGTTTTCTCCCAACCTACTAGCAACCCCACCTGTATTCTATCATTTCTGCAACAAAGTTTGAAGACTTCTTCCAGCTCAGAAAGCTTTTATACTTAAAGAGCCACACATTCAGAGCAAGAGATCAACAAAGGGCCAGTATAAGAGACTCCACTTTTGTAACAGAAAATACATTATAATTGCTGATCACAAGCATGTTTATTAATAATCCATAAAGTTTCTACAGCTCAGACACTGGTTGTTGCGAGTCCTCTATTAGACACACTCAAAATCTCACAATAATAAATGAATATGGACAGAAGCACCCTGCATGATTGTTTACTGCACTGGCATAGATCTGTGTACGGTTCACACATGGATTACAGGCAACCGTCCACCTCCATCATTCCCTCTCTGCAAAATATCTCTAAGAACCCCTTTAGTCCTGGAAAAATCTTTGCCTGCCATTCCCTTCACATACTACTTATTCTAGCTTTTCACCTAGTCCTCCAAAAGACTTTAATTTAAATATTTCATTTTCATTGTTAAAGAGCCATATTTGGCTCTGGAGCCATAGGTTGCAGGCCCCACCTCCAGCCTAAGAGAGCCTTCCTCCAACTTAGGTGGCTCTTATGCTGAGTAGTAGGCTACAGGACTGCACCAAGAAAGTACAGCAAGACTAGGATTGCCAGATCCCCCCCCCCCCCCCCGGCCACCAGCAGGGGACAAAGAGCTACGACTCAGGGGGAGAAGAGGCAAAACAACCTAGTTCTAAGCATTCGTCCAGAAGATAAAGGTAAGTCAAAAATCGCAGGGTGCTCTACTTTATATGCAACAAAATAAGAGGCATGAGATAGTAAGGGGCGCCTGACAGGGCCCGCTGTGTGAACTGCTGGTCTCAAAAAGCCAGAATTCCAGGAATCCACATTTCTCTGAGCTACTAGTCATAGCCCATTGTTTATTCATTTAAAGCATTTTTAAGATGTCTTGCCTCCTCACAGAGCTTAAGGAGGCCTATAGACATAGATAAAACATATCAAATAAAATACATTAAATTTTTAAATGTAAAGTTTAAAATCCCTACTCCGGACTGCTGTTAAACTTAACCAAATACAGTCCTAAACAAAGCCATTTTCAACTGCCTACTAAAGAGGGAAAGTGAGGGCCATAGGTGCACCTCCCTGGTTTCTACATCCCAGTCCACTATTTCTCCTAAGGGAGGGTGAGATAAAGACGGCATTTCCCAGGATCTGCCCCAGAAAACAGTAGTGACATGGGGCTAGAGCACATCTCTATATCCCTCAGATATTCTTCCTACCTTCCAAAGGTTCTGTTGACATGTCTCTGGGCTTCAGGGACCAAACTTTAAATTTAATTTAATTTAATTTAATCTGGATTTTAATATTCTTATTGTTTTATTTGTATTGGCCTGTCGGCTGTCTCCTATAAAACCCCCAGAGCCTGTTCACAGGGTGGACGGGGTATAAATGTAAATATAAATAAATAAATAAATAAAAATCAGTTGTTTTTGCCTACCCATACATTAAAGCACTAAACTGACTAAACTGAGGCTACTGTACTGTGGTCACATTATAAGAAGACAAGAGTCACTGGAAAAGACAATAACGCTAGGAAAGGTTGAAGGCAGCCGGAAAAGAGGAAGACCCACCATGACATGGATTGACTCAATAAAGGAAGCCAGAGCTCTCAGTTTGCAAGACCTGAGCAAGTCTGTTAATGACAGAACATTTTGGAGGACACTGATTCATAGGGCCGCCATAAGTCAGAAGTGACTTCGCAGCACTTAACACAAAGCATTAAAGAACAAGCACAGAGCCTTAACTTTCCCAATGAAATAGCAGCTACAGTCCTGAGAAACAGCAAGTGTGTGGGTTTCCCACAGTTACTTATGGAAGAGTTACTTAGGGATACTGCATATTAAGGGCCAAACTAGACATGACAGTGTCCACAGATGCGAAATGGCAGCATCCTCCCCAAGGCTGCTTAGGTACTTGAAAAGGTGGAGGAGAGGGGGAAACAAAAGCAACTCAGCTGACCATCCTGTAGGCCCCATCAGGATCAGGCCCTCACCGCATTTTTAAATCCCTTAAAAGGATTGCAGTATCCACAGGTCAGACTCACAGACACCATCACATCTAGATGGGCCCTAATTTTTTTTCACTATTTAGAAATTCTTTTCGAGTGGGTTTTATCACAATTATAAAATGTTGTGATTGTTTTTATACTTTTTATTATTATTTGTGAGCCATTTTGGGTACCATTGGGTAGAAAGCCAACAAATTAAGGGAAATGTTTCCATGTGTCCAATCCCAAGCCTTGGGGTTTTCACACAGAACTCTTCACAGGTTCCTTCACTATGAATAATCTGAATACTTTATTCATATAAATCAGAATACGTATCATGTGATTCTATATATATTATTTATTTTTAAACATTAATTAGCTCCCAATCCTTTCTGTTTTGTTTTGTATCCTGTGCTATGTTATGTTTTAATAACTCAAATAATAAAATTAACTACAAAAAGAGATCAACTATATGAGAAATGCACATCTCTCAACAGATTACTGTACTGTGTGATTTCAGAATTTAAATTCTACACAAAAATGCAGACAGGCGACTTGAAGACATGCATGAAGATTCATTTTCTACTTTAATACTCACTTAAAAGGTTAAAGTATTCATATGAAGCAGTAAGCAAAAAGAAAGCTGTCCCCTTTGATTTCAATACCTTTGCACATTAGGTGACAATGTTAATTGCTACAGCAACACCATAGACAAAATTATATGTTCTAATCAGTAATCATGGACTGGCATATTTTTAATCTAAAGAATTAAAACTGGATCAGTCTAATGTGGTAACCCCCAAAATTTGGTATGAAGAGTTACCCAGTTGCTTTATTCTTCTCTATGTACGTACTCAATGTAGTTCAGATGGGCGTCTGCCCAGTAGAGCTTGTCATTGGTGTAATCTATGGTGAGTCCATTAGGCCATTCTAACTTGGTAGAGACAACCACTGTCTTGTTTTTGCCATCCATTCCTGCACGTCCAATATATGGTCGGTCAGCCCAGTCTGTCCAGTAAACCTGTCTGTTTTAATAAGGATAGCATAAATTAGTCTAAGATCATTGTAATATAAAACAGACTGCTACCAGATGGGTTTTTAAAGAAAGATATGCAGCAAGAAAAGTACTTTTATTTAATGAATTCCGGATAAGAACACCAAATATAATCATAAATATCTCCAGAATGTGTAAATCTCGTGAATGGATTTTAGTCTATCATTCTGCACAAAAATCCCCAAAGGAGAGGAATTGGGTAAAATGGGAGGATTCAAACCCACAGGCAGCAAGAAATTGTAATGGATGAAAATAAATGGTGTAAAGAGCACATTAAGATTAACTGATTTATCGTAGCATAAGCTTTCATACACAACAGAAGACACCCTAGAAAATATCCTAGAGGGCTTTAAAAATCACTAAAACTCAGCCTCCCTCTGCTTCCATTTAGCCATCTCTTATCTCCACACTCTTTTCTTCCAAAGCTTCTTGCCTCCTTACCCCTTCATCCCTACAGTCTTGGATTATGTCACTTCTCTTGGTATTAATTGCTTCCACCAGCAAGTAGTAGCACCACTAGCAAATTATACATTCAACCAGAGATCATTTCGGGGGGGATTGCAGGGGATCGCAGTTCCCCCGGGTGAGGTACGGGGGGGGGCACATGACGAAGCCCCGCCCCCTGCTTCCGGCCACCCCGCTTCTGGCCCTCATTCAGCCAGGAGGAGGCAGGAGAAGAGGGAGGGTAAGTTGCTTCCTCCCTGCCTCTCCCCACCCCTGCTTGCCTGGGGCCAGGGAGGGCCTTCGCGGGGCTTCCTTGCACTCTCGCCAGCCTTGCAGGTCCACCGCCGGGCCCCTCATGGGGCTCGGCAGTGGAGCTGCAAGGCTTGCGGCGGTGGCCGGGACCGTTGGGGGCGGGGTGTGTGGCCTTATGACACACTTCCGGTGATGTCAGGGGGTGTGGCCTTATGACACACTTCCGGTGATGTCAGGGGGTGCGGCATATGCTAATGAGTTATGCTAATGAGTTCCCCTAGCTCTTTTTCTACGAAACGACCCCTGCATTCAACCTACCACTTAAAAAGGTATGTAGGCTTAATCTCTGCACAATAAAGACAAAGACTTTCAGGTCAGACGAATGTTGTTCTAAGTTTTGCCACCAATATGGTGGCTTCATATAAGGCCATGGGGATATCCACAGCAGTGTCACTGATCTGAAGACCTAAGATGTCCCGTAAAATCTAAATTTTGGGGTAAAGACCAAGTCACAAACAGCTAGATGTGTTGAGGAATCATCAGGGGCCATGGCTATTTGCTCAGCATACAGAAAATCCCCAAATTCAATCCCCGGCCGGCATACCTAATTAAGGATAAGGTGATGTGAAACACCTCTGCCTGAAACCCTAGGGTGCCCCTGCCAGTCTGAGTAGACAATACTGTCTTTGACGGACCAGTGGTCTGATTCAGTACAAGGCACCTTCATGGTGTTCATCAGGGATAACCCGTCTGATGGCTTGTAATACAGATGCCTGCTGAATAAATCTAGCACTTCATGCATCCAATGAGCTCTGGCTTACGAAAGCTAATCTTTTGGTGTTTAAAGCACTACAAGACTATTTTATTTGAAACAGATTAACAGCATTAAAAGGTAATCATGACTGAAATACCTACCCATATTTGGGATGAACAACAATGGCTCTAGGATGCTGAAAACAGAAGGTGTTGTTGGGATCCAAACAGTGATCAATGAGTTTCTTCCGAAACCGTCCATCAAGCTCAGCAACATAGAGACAGTTCTTGTAGGCATCTACCCAGTATAGTTTTCTGAAACAGTTGACAAGGTACATGCTTATAACGTGCATTTCATCCCTAACAGTGATCGATACAACTTTGATATACAGAAAGGAAAAGAAAAACTGGGTGAGGACATCAAAGGGCCTGGGCATTACCATTTCCCGAAGTATATTTTGGGGGATAAATCACTGTTACTTTGATGCAGAGAGCCAGTTTGGTGTAGTGGTTAAGAGCCGCAGACTAATCTGAAGAACCGCATTCGATTCCCCACTTCCCCACTTGAAACTAGCTGGGTGACCTCAGGCAAGTCACAGCACCCTCAGCCTACAAATAAGCACAGCTCGTCACCTAGTGGTGCCAAATAAAAGAGCTACCGCTTTGGCCTCCTGGCTATTCCACACACAATACCATACAGTAATTAATTCATCAGTAGCTGCATTTATACTTGTTATACTACGGTTACCTCTTGGCATTTTCTCACTCGGAATGTTACTAAATTTCACAACAAAGTCTAATCAAATTTTTAGGTTTCCGTTACGGTTTCTCCATACTTAGAAACAAAACTTTGGTTCTTCTTTTTCCTAACCATATTAACAAAATTTGATAGAAACATTATCATGATGACTGACACCTGGTTTTTATGCTAATTGTGTATAAATGGTGTAGAATGTAAAATAAAACAAAAGAAACAAACAAAACCATGACATTTGCCAAAGAAAATAAATGAGATGAAAATAAAATGGCACTGATATCAGTACTGGTAACAAGTTAGAAGGCCCCCTAAACAAAGTCATTTTTGGTGTCTGGAGCCAATCTCATGCCACGAGTATTCCACAGACACATGCCATCTAGTTGGAACCCTTGCAGTTTACAAATATCTTAAATATATAGCAGAATAATTTGGTATAAATGCATTACAAAAATAGCAACATTCTGAAGAAACTGCCAGATTATGTAAAGGTAGCCCAAAAGTACCAATTTAAACTCAGTCTTTGCATCCATTTATCAGGCACTCTTATACTGCAGCACACACTGTCCATCAGCACGAATCAACATCTATAGCATTTAACAATAAATAAAAATTCAGAATAGAATTTTCCCTCCACTGGCATACAGTTTAATAAGGCAGAACTAAAAGGTACATGGAGAGAGAGGGAAGGGGGGAAAAACAAGAAAGAATTCCGAGGCAAAGATCTCAGTAAAGAATACACGAATAACCATACTGGCAAAGGGTGGGAGGGTATTTTTTAAAGAGAGAGCTAGCGAAATTAATGTTAGGACAATTTCATAGGATTAGATCCTACCTGCCTTCCCACTGATGAAAGACAGAGGAAAGGCCTTTTTTAACAACCATGGGATTGTTGGGCTTATATGATGAAAAACCATGGAGGGTGGGGAACGGACTCAGCCAAGATTAAGTAGAAAACCTTGTAGGATCCAACCCATACTATGCTGAAGCAAAAGAGACAGGGTATAAGCAAGACAGGTCACAAAAATAGGAAATTTTTAAAAATCTGGTACAGAAACCAGCCTTTCCTCATCCTCTGCTGAGGAAGAAATTTTACCCTCAAACTGTTCCTCAAAAAAGAAATTCCGGGAAATAAAGATCTCAGCATGCTTCTACCCTTCCTCCAAGTATTTTACTAAAAAGGAACTTGAATGATTAACGGAAAGATAATCAAGCCAGGGAGAGAGCTTTTACTGGAACATTTGGGAAATACATCTTTCTTTTTCCATCGTTTCATCTGAAAATTTTGTACACAGTATTCAAGGGGAAGGGGCGATGAAATATGTAGGTAACGGATGCCCTGGTCCTTGAGAACAAGCATTCCAGCCCAAGACTCTCACATTCACATGATATTGCCCTCAAGTTTTTAGACCTTTCTCCACAACTGCATAGCATTTGGTTACCTACAAAGAGAGAGAGCTGTAAACTAGAAAACTCCTGCTTCAAATCCAGTTTTTAGCCATAAACGTGCTTAGGTGGACTGAGGCAAGCCATTATTCTCATAGATGCAACCCCACTGCCAGACAGTAAGCTAAAGGTAAAGGTGAAGGTTTCCCCTAGCTCGAAAGCTAGTTGAATCCGACTCTAGGGGGCGGTGCTCATCTCAGTTTCCAAGCCGAAGAGCCAGCACTGTCGAAAGATGTTTACATGGTCATGTGGCCAGCATGAGTAAACGCCGAGATGCATGGAACGCTGTTACCTTCCCACCAAAGAGGTACCTATTTATCTACTTGCAATTTCTTGCTTTCGAACTGCTAGGTTGCCAGGAGCTGGGGCCAGAGACGGGCACTAGGGTCTCGAGCTGCCGAGCTACAGACCTCTTAACCTCTGAGCCACCGCGGGACCAGACAGTAATGCGATCATAATACTGACCAACCTTACAAGATATTTGTAGATTATGGAGAAGCTCTACATTCAAGTCACGTATAGCCTTGACCGTTTTGCTTAATGGATTATTAAAAAGAGGTAGCACCTACATTTTGGTGAACGTGGGCAGAAAGATTAAACTAGGAGTTCCCAACCTTTTTCAACCTGCAGGCACCTTTGGAATTCTGACACAGCATGGTGGGAGCAGCCACAAAATGGCTGCCACAGGAGGCAGAGCCAGCTACAAAATGGCTGCCACAACTTATCCTCAGTTACACATACTTGTGCTGTTGTGACAGCTGCTGCCAGAGTAAAGCTTTTTTAAAAAATTCACAGAGTCAATTAAATCTACAATGGCCAATCACCAGCCTTGCTAGACAAAAGCCCCACTTGGTCCCGCCAACTTTCTAAAAACATTTGATGGGCACCAGGGAAGGTATTGGTGGGCATTAACCCCTTATAAATCATCATAATTCAAACGGGTAAAAAATCATAACAACTGGTAAAAAAAATAGCAAGAATGAGACTTACCTGCCAACCCAATCAACAGCAATACCTTCTCCACTGGGTACACCATCATTAATTACGGTTTCCTTGTTTGTTCCATTGAGAAACATTCTTTCAATGATCCTCCTGCCCACATCAATCCAATAAAGCCTTTTTTCCACCCTATCAAAGTCCAGCGCCACCACATTCCCAAGCCCTTGCAAAATGAGAGAGTAAGACAGGCCATCCGTAGTGAGATTCCTAAGATAGTAGCGGTTGCTAAAGATAAGGTAGGGTGAGATGTCGCTGTTTTGTCGGCAGCGTTTTCCATCGGGCTCACGGATGTAGCCTGGCGCACACTTGCAGATATAGGAGCCAATGGTGTTTTCGCAAATCTGGCTACACACCGAAGGTGTTTCACTGCACTCGTCAATGTCATCACAAGTCTTTTTATTGGACATGAGCCTGAATCCAGGATGACAAGAACAATAGAAACTGGTCTGGGTATCTGTGCAGTTGTGGTCGCAGCCACTGATTGAAGGGTCGTTGCATTCGTTAATGCCTGTAGGCAAAAACAAAACATCAGGAACCCAAGTAACAGTTACTCAAAGAAGCTGGAAACAATGTATTATAGTCACTGATTTCTGTTTGTTCACTAAATGTTTGCTAAATGAGTGTATAAAGTGCCATCAAGTAGCACCCAAATTATGGCAACCCTACCAAGGGGCTTTCAAGGCAGGTGAGAAGCAGAGGTGCGTTGTCATTGCCTTCCCTATGCAGCGTCTTCCTTGGTGGTCTCCCTTCCAAGAACTGACCCTGCTTAACTTCCAAGATCTGATGAGATCAGGCTATACCATGCTGCCTTCCCTCCCAAATGTTCACTTTACACAACCACAAAGGTTTTTAAAAATCAAAGTCTGCAAAGGTATAGTAACAGACACCCAAAATGGTTCTGATAATTTTTTTGGTTGGATCCACTGCATTTGATGAAGATGGTGAACGTCTGAGATGCGCAGAGTTCCTGGACCATCAGCTTCCCATACCACCACTGACAGACCAATACCGTTAGGCTCCTCCTGAAGTTTGATGAGGAAGAAACCATCTTACCAATAATTTGTGCGTGCCAAATGGATATCAACTGAATGATAGAATAATCAGGCTGACAGGCCTAATTAAATCAAAGTATTTAGTAATGAAGAATAGGAAGAGATTGGATTTATACCCCGCCCTTCACTTGGAGCCTCAGAGCAGCTTACAAACTCCTTTCCCTTCCCCTCCCCACAACAGACACCCTGTGAGGTGGGTGGGGCTGAGAGAACTCTGACACAAACTGCTCTTTTTCAAGGACAGCTGTGCCAGAGCTTGTGATTGACCTAAGGTCACATCAGCAGGTGCAAGTGGAGGAGTGGGGAATCAAACCCGGTTCTCCCAGATTAGAGTCCGCACACTTAACCACTACACCAAGTCATAAAAATGGTTCAGTCTTGCTAAAATCCATTGGCCCAAGGGCAAAACTGGCTTAAATCCAAATTAATCAGTTATAGCCTCAGGCCGTTAATGGGATAATTAAAACACAATTTGATCATGTGCACGTTATTTTGATAGTAAAGTTTATTTACAATTCAATAAATATTTTACAGTAAAATAAACAACAGGCTTTTGTAGTTGGACAATTCTGGCTTTGTTATGGCTGTATGTATGTGGGAGGGGTTCATAGGGATGTACAGCTGAAAAGAAAATGGTATTTTTTGGATATCGGGTAGGGCATAAATATTGGTATTCTGGATTATTTTTGTCCTCGATACCAGTTTGGTTTTTGGAATTCCAGAATTATCTTGGTTCATTATTCCCTATGAGGAATACTTCCGGAGTGGCTTTTTTTTTTTTTTTGAGCAAATGTCACCACAATTCAGGGTGGATAAAAATCAATGCTTTTAAGAAAAATTAAATCAGATTTGAGGAAAGATCTATCTAAAGATAGTTTTCTATTTAGTCCAAAGGTTATTCATCATGAAATATGGATTTGTTTTTAATTATGTAGCATGAGGCTGTATATTCATGCAATGTTTTAATTTTTTTGGTAAATGAATTCCATTAACCCATTCAGAGGTTTCAGTAAGATTATTTTGGGCAGTTTTCCTATCTAGAAGATATTATCACAGATTATTGGTGTTGCAGTTCTCAAAACTGTGAACTTGTGTCTGCAGAGATAACATGCCTCTTCTTTACAGCAAAAATGTTATGAAATAAACATACAGAGTAAAGAGAACTCAGTCTTATTGGTCCTCTGCAAATGTATGCACATAGAATCAACCTCTTAACTGGTAAGTTTCAAGAAGTTGAATGGATATAAGATCGTTTGGGGTGAAACAGGTCTGAATAAGGAGATGTTAAGAGCTAAGGGGAAGGATGTAGTACAAATGAAAGTGAAACTTTTTAATCAGAATACTCCAGAAATCGAGAGATCTTTGTGAGTGTGTCCTCATGGATGTATAAGCAAATACAAGAATACTATATAATGTTATTGTTTAAGTTAAATAAAACAAATTAAATGGTTTTTGTTAATTATTATTTTTCTCCTTCCAATAAACTACAGCAGAAAATTGTTCAAATATGAATGAGTAACCTATTAAACTGACAATAGTTCACCTTGCAATGATTTCATAGTTATCTACTTCAAGTGGTAAGTAAACCAATAAATAATTTTCTGATATAGCTAAAACTAACCTGAAAAGTTATTACACTAAAATGAAACCTTCATCTGGGTTGTAAATATTAAGGTCAACAAGAATGAGCCTTTATGTAGAAAACCATGATTTAAATCGAGTCTTACTGACTAATCAAATCCACCCTGCCACAACTGCAGCACAGTGCTTTCTGTCCACTAAAGATCCCCCCAGGTCTCAAGTGAACTGGACCAAGGAGTCCAACTCTATGGCTCCTGAACAAAGTGCCCCCAGCCATACTCCATTGTTTTCTAAGGGGGAAAAATCCCATGCTTTCTCCAGAGGAAAGAATAGACAAACACACAAGAGCAAGCAAAGGCTTCCTAATGCAAAGATAACCACTGACAATCTCTTACTCATAATTCCCAAATTAATTCAAAGTTTAATTTTGCCTTCTTAATAACGACACTATACTACTGACTTTCAAGTCATTTTATCATCATGTGAGATCTCCAAGGACATTTACCAGGCAGATGTTTCCAAAGTATTGCAATAATTCACCTTCTGGTATATAAAACTTCTGTACTCAGATACATCCATTCCTTCAAAAAATGTTCTATACATACCACATCCTTTTTCATCACTGTTGTCAAGACAGTCATCTATCCGGTTGCAGATTTTAGCCAATTCAATGCAGTTCCCGTTGTCACACTTGAAATAATGGGGGGGACAGGTTGCTTCTGGTGTAACACACATGTGCTCCAACTCATCTGATTCATCACCACAATCATTGTCCCCATCACAAATGTAGGCTTTTGAGATGCAGCGGCCATTTTGACAAGTAAACTGGTGTTGTGCACAGGGCTGATAGACACAACCCCTCTCATCACTGCTGTCACCACAGTCATTACGCCTGTCGCACCTGGAAAAGAAACCCATTTTTGAGGCATTACAAGAAGGTGGTGACCACCAGTCAGGAAAATACTACCTATTGGCATATTTCTATGACACCTCCTCAGAGTCCTGCTTGAAGTGGCTCACAAATAATATCACAATGTTAAAAACAAGCTAGAGGACATAAATAGCATAAAATTTATCTATAAAACAGAAAGGTTTTTTGGCATATGGGCACAATCCCACCAAATGTCAATTAAAGCCGCCCTTGAATGAGAGTATCTTCTACATAAAACTTCCAGCTTGACAGATTTTACTCAATTGGCAAGACATTAACGTCAATGGACTTAGTAGACTGTAGAGCTTGCAGTACTTTTCTTTCACATTAACAGGCAGAGATCACACCACCTAGTGTACAAAACCAGTCTACCAATCAGAATAATTTATACACATTTTCAGGAGTTTATCCCGTCTCGGTTTAAATGTGTTTTTGTTTTAAAGAAACAACCCCCCTCCCCATTTCTTTAGCCACTGCGGTGGCTCAAGTGGTTAAGACGCTGAACTGCAGGCTGTGGAAGGTCGGTAGTTCAGCAGTTCGAGACCCGGGTGCCGCATGATGGAGTGAGCGCCCGTCTCTAGTTCCAGCTCCTGCCAACCTAGCAGCTCAAAAGCAAGAAATTGCAAGTAGATAAATAGGTACCACTTCAGTGGGAAGGTAACAGCGTTCCGTGCGCCTTGGTGATTAGTCATGCCGGCCACATGACCACGGAAATGTCTTCGGACAGCGCTGGCTCTTTGGCTTTGAAACGGAGATGAGCACCGCAACCCTAGAGTTGGATTCGACTGGCTTTCAAGCAAGGGAACCTTTACCTTTAGATTGTAGATGCCGTGGTGGTTCAGAAGTTAAGACGCTGAGCTGCAGACCAGATGGTCTGTAGCTCGGCAGTTCAAGAAACGGAGATGAGCACTGCCCCCTAGAGTCGGATTCGACTAGCTTTCAAGCAAGGGAAACCTTTATCTTTACCTTTAGAGTGTAGATATTGAGCAACAGTCTGATTTGCAAATCTCTGCAGCCATGTTCAGTCCTTATTAAAACAAAGCCCAGAAAGCCGGTCCTATGACGGAATGCCCAACCAAAGAGACTGCAAGCACTACATGAGATTTAGATGACATTGGCTGAATTTGAATTTGACACAAGGCAGGGGAGTCAAGAACAGCAAGCAACTGACAGGGTAAGAAAGCCCACTAGGACCTTGCTAAGGCTCAACCCCCAGAAAATCATCCTTGCCTCTCTGTCTCCCTCCCCCCAAATGTCACTCATTGCTGCCCAGCTGACTACTGGTTAACTACATTTTGCCTCAATCACCTTGTTTCTCTTATGACCAGGGGAGCATAACTCCCCACCATGGTCCAGCATCCTAAAATCACAAATTCTGCCAGTGGTAGTTAAGCATTAAGAATAAAGTTAACATTCTTCTCTGAAAATGTGGATCAGCTTCAACTACAGGGAACTGGGCTGAGAAGACAGCGACTTCCCTTAGGATGCCAAGCGAGTCTAGGCTGATCTGGGATCTGAACCCTTGTTGAAGTCCACACTGCCTACACCCTGATTCTCAATGCACAACTTCCTTTACTGAAATCCTCCAGCACTTTGGTATGGTTTATTGATTTATTTGGTGAATTTATATGCCGCTTCTCCAGAGACCTGCTTGAGGCAACTTACGACTAAAATAGTAAAACAAAACCATTAAAACACAACCATAAAAGAACAAAATCTGACACAAGCCATGGAAAACAAACCAAAGCCATTAAAACAATCTGGGGCATAAGGACAGCATAAACACACACCGAGCAGCCTAAAAGGAAGTAAATAAAATCATCTTCAAACCAGAATCAAACCATGATAAAAGACAGAACTCTTCAGTGAAAAGCCTGGGAAAAAGGAAGGTTTTACCCCGGTGACAAATAGAAGAGAGAGAAGAGGAGAAGAGATTGGATTTATACCCCACCCTTCACTCAGAGTCTCAGAGTGGCTTACAATCCCTTTCCCTTCATCTCCCCACAACAGACATCCTGTGAAGTAGGTGGGGCTGAGAGAGCGCTGAGAGAACTGCTCTTGAGAGAACAGCTCTGAAAGAACTTGTGACTGACCCAAGGTCACACCAGCAGCTGCATGTGAAGGAGGGGGGGGATCAAACCCGGTTCTCCCAGGTTAGAGTCCTTAGAAAGTAAAGCAGGCTTCAGCAGAACCTCCCAGGGGAGGGCAATCCAAAGGCCAGGCTGAGTATAACACAAACCTGTAAGCGCTGCGGATGCACAGCCCATTGCTACAAGTGAATTCAGTGTCCAGGCATGGCCTTCTGGTGCAGTTCTGATGTTCATCGTAACCATCGCTGCAGTCAGCATCCCCGTCGCAGACCCAGGCCTTGGGGATACACCTTCTTTGCGTAGGTCCGTTGTTCATACAAGTGAACTCCGATGCTGAGCAGCTGCGATTTGCTAGAACAAAGCATAGTATCTCAGCAACGTTATTAAAACACCTCTGTCCAGTTATTAGTTATATGTTTATTGGTCCCGCTCTCAAGGACTATTGTCCAGAAGGAGGAATTTCCAAGACTAGGGACAGAAATTTTTTAAAAAACAGAACCAAATGATTCTGTATAATGTTCAGGCCTTGCAGGTACTTACCACAACCGTGTCTTTGGTCCTCGTCACTCATATCGCCACAGTCATTATCACCATCGCAGATCCAACTTGCTGGGATACACCTGCCATCATCGCATCTGAACTGGTCATTTGAACAGCTCCGCACAGGGGGAACTTGGAAGAAGAACAGGGTTTGTCTGTCTGCCTGCTTTGTGATATGCCTGTCAGCACTTTGCAGGGCTGTTGTTGTTTTCTTTAATGTCAAGAAAGTGCTCCTGAAAGCCACCCCCCCTTTTATAAGATCACATGCAAAGGATTAATGCCGCTCACTGCCTTCAGCTAAACACCAGAGTTCTCATTCACAAGCGTGTCCCTAATCTTGAGTTTCTCAGAATAACATGTGCCAAACCTTACATACTGACATATTTAGACTAGGGAGATGCCTTGCAGAAGCCTTCCGCTTTTGTGAAATCAGACACATGGTACGGAGGACCTTAGGAATCAACACGATTTTCAGGGCATGAGCTTTTGGAGAGTCAAAGCTCCATTCGCCAGATGATGAAGGGCACTTTGACTCTCGAAAGCTCAGACTCCCAAAATCTCCATTCGCCAGATGATGAAGGGCACTTTGCCTCTCGAAAGCTCAGACTCCCAAAATTTTGAGTCTCTGAGGTGCTATTGGACTCAAGTCTAGCTGTTCTACTGCAGATCAACATAGCTACCTTCAGAAACTAGGCTAGACTAGAACATGAGACTCACTCTATTTGGTTTTAAGACAGTGGGCAATTCTGCATCTGGCATTCGCTCCACATTTTCTCAACGCGGAGGAAAAGGTGCAGCTCAAAGCCACATTCAAATACCCCAGGGCAACGCTGTACTGACTGTGACGTCACCCCTGAACAGCCATAAATCTATGCAGAAGGTACCATAAAACTCGATGATCAGAGAAAGTGAAAGCGGCATGCAGTGTAGAGGGTACCATAAAACCCGATGATCAAAGAAAGTGAAAGCAGCATGCAATGCAGAGGGGAATTTCTGTTCCAGTGTGGGTTTGGTAAAACAACGGAGGGAAAAGCCAATACAGAATCGCCCATAGTCTGATTCTGCACCCATCTGTTTTCCGCAGTTTCCCCACAGCCACACGAGGTCATAAATCTCCCCTCTACACTGCATGCTGATTTCATTTTCTTTGTTCAACGGGTTTTATGGTACCTTCTGCGTAGATTTATGGCCGTTGAGGGGTGACTTCACAATCAATACGGCGTTGCCCCAGAGTATCTGAATGTGGCTTTGAGCTGCACCTTTTCCTCAGTGCTGAGAAAATGTGGAGTGCATGCCAGATGCAGAATGGACCATAGAGTCAGACTTGCACTTCTTTCCCATGGTAAAACCATCCGTTCCCTCACTCAGAAGACTCTAGAGTAACCCACACCGAAGGGCTTGCACCTATGGTCTCAATGGAACTCTCTCATACCTTGGATTGTAACCTAGGGTATATTTTCCGAAAAGACCGACCATCACTGACCTATCCATTCATTAACCTCAATTCATTTTCTTCCGCCCAGTTATGCCTTCCCAAATCATTTCGTTTTTTAACTTCTCACTTACCACAAGAGGCGGGCTCATCGGAGCCATCAGCACAATCCACTGCTTGATCGCAGTACCAATGAGCAGGGATGCAGCGTCCAGACGAGCAGCGAAACTCAGCATTGGTGCAAGTCAGTGAAACTGGAAGGGTGGAAAAAAAATTCCCCGGATTTCATCTTTCTTTTTTCTTAGGATTCCAAACTGACTGAAGGTGCATTTGAATCCGTGATTAACATACTAATACTTAGTATGTATATATTATGCTTCGGTACGTTCAAAGTACTTCTCACACATACATTACCTTACACAGCCATGTAACAAAAGTCCAATGTTATCACCTCCATAGTGCTTATCTTAGGGGGAAGGGCTGAAGCCAACAGAGAATAGCTTGCCTAAGGCAATTTAGGGAGTTCATGGCAGAAGAGAAACTTAGATTGGGTTCACAGCTCAGTTTCTCAGGTGCTACAGTACAGTAGCTGTCCAAGACAGCAGCCTTCTGGACAGAACTGGAAGCTACTTCCATGAGACCCAATCTCACACTTCAAGGGCACATATTAATAATATGACTTGAAAGTGGGACCAACTGCACGGGTTTTTCCCATCCAAATGGCAACCGAGGCGGCTGTCTGCCCCTTCCTCTGACTTCATGTGCCCTAGGACGGACAGGTAGTTCCTGAGGGAGAGATAAACAGGGCCTCCCCAGCGTTATTTCCAGTGGTAAAAATGCTGTGCGAGGGAAGCCTGAAACCTCTCCCTCCCCCACGCCCAGATGCAACTGAGTGGAGAAACTGAGAGCTTTTTAAAATCCCCACTTGAACATATAACCATGAGCTGGGTAAGAAGCCCTTGACCTGACTGGATTTTGGCCCAAGTCCAAATGTGCAAAAGGACTGGTACTTTTCATATGAGAAAAACAGCCGTAACACCTCTATAGCTACTTTCTCCTTGGACTCAAAGCAAGAATTCATGAGTGTTCTTTCTTTCTTTCACTGCAATTCGCTTTTTTCCCTTTGCTAAGAATTATCTGGTTGTCACTTCACCTTCTCACATGATTCAGAGCTGCAAAATCAAGGTCATTTTACATTCTTATAACATTTATTCAACTTTGACTACATGTGCCAGCCCACCCATGGGAAGCACCTCTGTTCCCATGCCAGCAGCCATTGGCAACCAACCTGCTGGTATCAATGCTCTCCACACCTTCAGGCAAGCACAGCTAATAAGAATCCTATATATCAGGCATGTCCAACTTCGAACAGGTAGTGATCTATTTTTTCCGGCCAAAAGTGCCGGTGATCTACCACCATAAAAATAAAGTTTCAAATTAGTTTCAAATTAGATTTTAACCCACTAAAGTTGGGTTCCACCGTTCCCCCGCCTCTTTATAATGCACCTTCTGTCATTTACTGGTAAGCAAAATAAGCAAAAACAAAACAGAGAGACGAAGATCCACAAAGAACTGCGAACAAGTGGAGCTAGTGATCTGCCTCTGACCCTTCCGCGATCTACTGGTAGATCGCGATCTACCTGTTGGACATACCTGCTATACCCACCCACTCCCTTGCGACATATTAACACACTGAAGGCCAGGGATACAATGTCTGAGTTGCATCTCCCCCCACAAGTCCTTTAAACGATCATTTATCCAGTTTTTATGGAAGGTCTGAACTCTTGCTCCCATCTTTAATTTTTTAATTGTTTTCAGGCTTTAAAATTCTTAATGTTTTTAGAGTAACTGTGTTAATTGACTTTTACTACTATATGTCTTGATGTTTCCCACCCTGAGCCCATTTGGGGAGGGCGGGATATAAATTTTATAAATAAATACATAAACAAACAAACTCAGAGTTCTTCTCAAAACTGACACTCTTCCAGCTCTCCATATAATATTTCTTTAGTCTTTATCTAAAAATGGTTTGGTATCCTTTGTCTCCATGATTGACTGGCTTAGAAGATTTTTAAGTTCCAGAATCTGAAAAGTATGTTCATGTTAGGCAGACACACGTGGGCACAAGTAAAGGCGGGCCTTTGCAATACAATCATCAAAGGGAGGGGGTACATAGGTGGTAGAAGAATTTTGGCTTTTTGCCCAAACCAAAGCTGAGGAAGGTAATTGGGGCACCATTAGCTTACCGCAGTGAGTGGGGCTCTCATCACTCATGTCGCCACAGTCATTATCCCCATCGCACAGATAAGTTCGAGGAATGCATATGTTTGTGCTCTGACATTTTGTATAGCCGGTCTGACAAGTGCGTTCAGCTTTAAGAGAAAAAGAAAATAAGAAGGGAAAGTTTAGATCTCTTGTGTTCCCTTATAAAGGAACAGGCTGATTTCTAAAAATGCATGTTAAACGTCAAACAGCAACATTTTACAGACTTTCTGGAGTGAAATTTCAAACGATCTATCATTGTAAGATCAGTTCAGTAGACATCTTCTAGGGATGAGCTAACATATTCATTCTGAATAACACAATTTAGCAACTTGAATCTGCCTTTAAATCATCTGTTCTCAGAGGTAACTATTTTTAATCCATTGTTATTTTCCATGAATACATCTTCATTATTTACATCTGATACACTCTTTTTTCATGAGTAATTATAGCTTGTTCCTTCTACTCTACCCTTTAGAAAAAAATTATCCAAAATTTGGCAGAAAGGATATTTCAAAGGGACACATCCATAGAAACTACTCTGGGGAAAAGTCATCACAAGAAAAATGCTGTGCCTCAGAAAAGAGGAACAGAAACAAGACCACCTGGCCTGTATTACCATAACAAATAACAAAACACTTTTATTTTAGAAAGAACAATATACCTAAAGGGGAACATTTTGGGGGAACATTTTCAACAAATATATTACTATCAAAATTTAATCATTTTTAGTTATTTTCCAATTCTTGGTACAGATTTGTTAGGTAAAGTTTTTGGTCAGATGAGTAGAAAAGGTCCCATATTAGAGTTGGAAGACAACTTTCTTAAAATAAACACATTTGAGTTAGGTCAGTGCCTAGAAAACATCAGCCAGGAGCCTACACCATCTTGGATTCCATGATGCAAAGTAGGATATAGTACTCAATACAGTTTGAGTCGGTTTTGTCCTGCAAAAAGATGAGATCCCTTCTAAGCTTATTCTGTCTTAGAAACATAGAATCATAGAGTTGGAAGGGGCCACACAGACCATCTAGTACAGCCCCCTACCCATTTCAGGACCAGCCTAAAGCATCTCTGACAAATATTCGTCCAGGCTCTTCTTGAAAGCTGTCAGTGAAGGGGAGCCAACCACCTCCCTAGGCAGCTGATTCCACCTTTGAACCACTCTGACCGTGAAAAAGTTTTTCCTAGTATCCAGCCGATACCTTTCTGCATGTAATTGAAACCCGTTGTTTCGGGTCCTATCCTCTGCTGCCAACTGGAACAGCTCCTTGCCCTCCTCCAAATGACAGTCTTTTAAATATTTAAAGAGAGCAATCATGTCCCCCCTCAATCTCTTCTTCTCCAAACTAAACATTCCCAAGGTCCTTAGCCTTTCCTCGTAGGACTCAGTCTCCAGACCCCTGATCATCCTCGTCGCTCTCTTCTGCACCTAAGAGCAACAGCTTCTCAGTTCTGTACCATCAGTTCTCAGTTCTCCCCATCATAGCTACACTATCAAAACCACCAAACAATACCTAGACATCACCTGTTCTCTGATAATTGCAGCGTTATGCTAAAAACTCCAACCACTATTGTTGTAATCAGGGCCTCTGCCAGAACAGTAGAGCTGATGGTCACTGCTCAAAAGAACACATGAACACCTCTGCTGGATCAGACTAGTGGTCCATCTAGTCCAGCACCCTATTTTACACAGAGGCAACTCAGCTGCCCTGGAGGGCCTACAAACAGGACATAGAGACCAAGGCCCTTCCCCGAAGTGGCTCCTAAAGCTGAGTTTCAGAGGTTTACTGCCACTGAATATGTTCTATTGTCACACCAAAGCTAGCCACAAAAATGTAGTCTTAAGCACTTCACTGTTGGTTCAAAACAGAAAGATTAAATATATTATGCATAATACACAATACATTAATACAATTCACAGGGGAGGGAATAACATAATCATTATATCAAACGATTCACACACCGGAACAGTTATAAATTAATGATATGCCCTATTATTCAGTCCCCAATGGTTGAAGCATAGTATTCAATAGATGTTCACCTAATAGAAGTGATTATTTCCAGCCTTTCCACCAGTAGCCTCCTGTGGCACATTAAAAAGTACTGGCAGCATTTGGAGGGCCCTTGCATGCAAAAAAGCCACACATCAGGGGAAGGGTAACTGGGTGAGATCACCCTTCTTCCATTAATGGAAAGCCCATAGGATACAGCTCAGTATCCTTTGAGTTGGATCCAGCTAGCTTTTTCATTGGTGAAAAAAGGAGGAGGGTGTCCCCTTTCACCACCAAAACCGCTATCCTAGGGATCATGGGACCTGCATGAGAAAAGCCATCTAGGATGGGAGCTGTGATAAGAAGGGAAATTGGGCTACCATGAACAAAAATTTGGCGGGATCTAATGCTGCGGTGGCTCAGTGGTTAAGACGCTGCACTGCAGGCTGGAAGGTCGGTAGTTCAGCAGTTCAAGACCCGAGTGCCGCATGACGGAGTGAGCTCCCGTCTCTGGTTCCAGCTCCTGCCAACCTAGCAGTTTGAAAGCAAGAAATTGCAAGTAGATAAATAGGTACCGCTTTGGTGGGAAGGTAACAGCGTTCCATGTGCCTCGGCGTCTAGTCATGCCGGCCACATGACCACGGAAATGTCTTCTGACAGCGCTGGCTCTTTGGCTTGGAAACGGAGATGAGCACCACAACCCTAGAGTTGGATTTGACTGGCTTTCGAGCAAGGGAACCTTTACCTTTAACATGTACTACCAAAGTCAGTGGGACAGATCATAGCATGTACATTTATTAATGTTTCTCAATCACCAACAAATGCTCTTCACGCCCAATAAACTTCTCAAGCTGTTCATAAATCTGACTGGGTTTTTTTTTTTTACCAATTGTGTTAAAAATACCAACGTTTGTTCCGTTTTACTGATTCTTTACAAGCAAAAAAATTAAGTTTCCTCTATGGTGGCCTAAAGAATCAGATCCTAAAGGACAATATGTATTTGTGATCAACTTACGGCAATTTCTCTCATCTGAAGTGCCATTATCATAACAGTTGTTTACACCATTGCAGACGTATTCAAGAGATATACACCTTCCATTATTGCAAGTAAATTCTGTGTGGGAGTCACAAGTTCGGAACAAGCAGCCCACCTCATCACTGTTGTCTCCACAGTCATTGTAGTGATCACAGCGATAAGGGTAGGGTACACATCGCCCATTGCCACAGGTGAAAGCTGTTGGCTGACAGGTATGAAAAGCTGAAGGAGAGAAATGTGATAAAGAAACATCACTGACAGAAGAGACTCTTGACAAATCCATCAAAGAAGTATGTGGGAGTTTAGTTTGTTTGTTTTTACCTGCAAGGGCAAACACGGCTGCAAAGCGGACTGCATGTAAAGTAAAATACACATCTTGAATCAGTCAGTTGGAAGGCAAAGTTGTTAGTTTTGTTTCTACCTGGACGATTCGCTAGAGTCTACAAATCCCTCCGTGAAAACTGAACGAATGACAGAGCATTTCGAACAAAAGGAAGTAAACTGGAGATGCTGCTGCCAACATGTTGCCATAAAGCAACACAGCCGCACAGTCAATGAGAAAATGTGAGATTTTCTTTATGCGTGGTGGGACTTCTCTATTTTTTAAAGCCGAATTTTATCAAAAGGAAGTCATAATCCACTTCCTCCACTCCATCCTCCTTTTCCCCTTCCTGTTCCTGTAGGAGTCCCGTACCACTAGTGCCCTTCCCTCACTGGCAGTCTTTCAAGGCGTCGGGCCAGGAAGACTATATGTGTAGAGGAAGAGTTACAGAGCCCTAAATTTGAAAAACCATTAATAAACAGTTTTGTAAATACTTGCTAAGCGTGAGTTAAGAACACCGTACTCCACAACACATGTATTTATGTCTTAACTCGCACATTATTATTCTGATCTTATAAACATTTAAACTGTGAAAATACTTCCTAGTCCCTCTAAAAATTGTATTTCACCCTGTTTGAATCTAAGAGAGTAAGTCAGTTTTAACATCTGTACTATCTCTGCTACATTAGTCTTTTTAACTTTTACATTTTGAATTATCTCTGTTCCTGGCGGCAATCCGGTCTCCTCTCCTCTAGTTAATCCCAGCAACACAGACAGCGGGACTCTGGACAAACAGATATTGGGTATCTCTTGATTTTTATCAAAGCTTTTTCCTGCAAGGCATTAGAGTTTCTGATTCAGCGGCAGAAGTTCTTACCGCACACACTTTCCAGTTCATCGCTGCCATCCCCACAGTCATTATCATTGTCACACTTCCAGCGCTCTGCAATGCACCGTCCATTCAGGCAGGTGAAAAGTCCTCCACTACACCTGGTGCCATTGTCCACAATACAATGCCTGTTGTTATTGGCTAAATACCAGCGTCCATCAGAAGGACATTGACACTCTGCGCCAGTTGGGCCTACGTTTGATTACAACAAACAACAATGAAATATTACAATAACATTAAAACATCAACATCTTTACATATAACTTACCACAAAACATCCATTCACTTCACGGAATGTGAATGGAATGTTACTCAGAAAACAACAAGCAGGTTCACAAATATGTCAGCCCTTTAGCAGCATGCTTAGAATAAGCTCTTTTATGCACTCCGAATAAGCTTCATTCGTCGTATTGTTGCAGTGACACTGGTTCCAAGACTGCAACTACTACGTCAGCATATAAAATGAGCATGGCAATTCCAGGGAGAGACTCATACAATATCTGTCTTGCCAAATGAAGTTTCCTCCTTCTCACTTATTAACCCAGGAGTCTCTGGCTGCTGCAGAGTAGCTCATCGATCCCATTATCCCATTCATTTTTGCTAAAGAACCCTGATGCAGAGAAGCACTGAAGTGTTATAATTGCCAGTAAGTTGCCCTCAAAATGGGCTTTGCTGAAGGGCATTTGCCTCACCATGAAAAAGATATGTGCTTGGGGCAGAAAATAGTCTCATAAATACCAAGCTATTAGTCCCACTATTGATGTATGTTTGAAACAGGCTCTGGACACTTGAAACAAGTCTCTGAGTGTTAGGAAACACACTGATTTCTGCCACCATGAGCTATACTTTGCTACCCCAAGATATATTTGAATTTGTCTTGGAGTGTTGAATATTAGAAGTATGTGCTTGGTATATGCCGAGCCAATATTTTTTCAGATATTTAATCAGCCGAATACAGATTGAAGAATCTGATTCGGCTACCGAAACACCCATGACTGAATAAAAGCCGATATTATCTGGCTTTTATTCAGGCACAGCTAGAACACATTTAAAGAAGGCCATGCCTTCTGAGTTAATTTGCCGAGTGACGATAGCAGTGGTGCTGTAGCACTGAATAAAAGCCGATATTATCTGGCTTTTTTTCAGGCACAGCTGGAACACATTTAAAGAAGACCATGCCTTCTGAGTTAATTTGCCGAGTCACGATAGCAGTGGTGCTGTAGCGTTGCGATTCAGCAAGTGAACTCAGCAGGATACAGTATACCCTATATATATTCCGGTTTTCAGAATATTTACTTGAATCCCAATACAATACCAATATTGGTATTCGGGAATATTCAGAATACTGATATTTTTCAGGTTTTGCATACCCCTATTGAATATACACGAACATGAAATTGAGCCAACTTCGGAGGACGGCGGAAGACAGGAGAGCCTGGCGGGAGATTGTCCATGGGGTCGCGAAGAGTCGGACTCGACTGTGCGACTGAACAACAACAAAATTGAATATACCCCATATGTGATATGTTCACAGTGTGATATATACATTGTTGCACTAATAAACATGCAGCCTGTTGTAGAACTGAACAATGGTTACCTGCCTGTATCATGAGATCTTTATACCCCAGTCTCTCCAGAATGGCTGACAATTATTCATCTGTAGTATGTCACAACCTTGCATCTCCTGGGTAAGAACTGCTGCAGCTTCTTTTACTAGTTGCAGAAATTTCAAATGACTGTCACTAGACAAAAGTGAAAGAGTCCAGTAGTACCTTAAAGACTAACAAAACTTGTGGCAGGGTATGAACTCTCGTCAGTCACGAAAGCTCATACCCTGCCACAAATTTTGTTAGTCTTTAAGGTGCTACTGGACTCTAGCTGTTTTCTACGGACAGACTAACACAGCTACCTATCTTGATCTACCACCAGACAAGGCAGTGTCCTAGATGTCAGATATGGTTGGGATTTGCCAATGCTTAGTTGTCTGCAGCTTAGTGCAGAGCATAAATTTGGCATGCAGAACATCCCAGGTTCATTCCAGACATATTCAGTTCAAAGGACTAGGCAGTATGTGATGCAAAAGACCTCTGCCTGAGACCCTGGTGAGCTGCTGCCAGTCTGAGTATAGACCTTACTTGACCTGTGATCTGACTCCATACAAGACAGCTTCATTTGTTCATATACTGGTGTGTCTATGTCCTTGCATATATATGTGCTATGCATTTTGTGAATGAAAACTTACTTTTTCCGTTGCAATGGTGATCCAAACTAAAATGCTATTTGAGTGCAAGAACTTAAATAAAATTGTCTCAGCTGATCTAATCCCTTATTGAAAGACATGGCACTCAATGACAATACATACGTTATTATTATTTTTTAATAAATCTTTTATTTACCTGTTACACAGATATGGCTGCAACCACCATTGAACTGGTTACAAGGATTGGTGCATTTCTGTTGCTTGCTTTTGGCCCAGACGTGAATATCCATGGGTCTGGATGGCAGATTTGAGATCATAACAATCTGATTCGACCCATCATATTTGTTGGCTCGGTAAATACTCCGGGTGTTCCAGTCTGTCCAGTAAATATGTTGATCAAAGAGGGTCATTGCAAATGGATAGAGGGCTGTGCTAACAATGACCTCACGATTTTCACCTGTAAGGGTGCTGCGCTCTATCTTCTGTCTAAAACAATTAGGAGTTGTTAGTATTTGAAAACAAAGCACGAGACACCAAAATTTCATACATTATATGCCCCTAAATCCCCCTTATGAGAAATACTGTGAAACACGTAAAGCTTATTGTAAACTTCAAAAATCCTTGTAACCCACAGCTCTCAAATATTAAAACTTGTTAGCAATCTAATTATACTGTATGTAGTGAATCATGCCCTGACCTGGATAGCCCAATCTTGACAGATCCTGGAAGCTAAGAAGGATTGGACCTAGCTAATATTTGGATGGGAAACCTCCAAGGAATACCAGGGTCATGATGCAGAGGCAGGCACTGGCAAACCTCCTCTGAACGCCTCTTGCCTTGAAAACCCTATGGATCACCATAAGCCAGCTGTGCTTTGCCAGCACTGATTACCATTCTACCATTCAACAGATTTCATTCCCATCATTTTGCTTGTTTGGCAAACAGAAAATAAACTAACAATGAACACCACTGTCGCCAAAAAAAATTCTTACTAACCATGATCATAATGTAGTATCTTTGTTACTGAACTACTGCATATTATTTAAACCAGTACCGTACCGAAGCATCTGAGAAACAGTAAAATACAAGGGGAGACCCGCAAGAAACTTGTGGGGAGGGGACATTTTGCCCGTCCTTGCTTCCCTCTCCCTCTTCTCTGTGAAGGTTCCCTCCTGTCTTTCTGTACCTACCCCTTATCTACCAATCTGCCCTCACCTCTCCTTCTCCTCTCACCCCTTCTGTGTCAGCTTTCCTCCCTACCCCCTTCTCTAGGTATCCTTTCTTACCCCTTCTCCTCTCACCCCTTGTATGTCTCACCCCTCTCTTACCCCAGCCCTTCTCAGACAATGTCCTCTTTCCCCACCCCTTCTCAGCCTGCCCCTCTCTTTCTCTTCCCTCTTTCTCTCTTTCCTCCCCCCCACAATCTCCCCCTCTTCTGCCTCCCTTTCTGCGGCTTCGTCCTTGTTTTTCTGGCTGTGGGGAGGCCGCTCGCCTGGGAGGGATGTGGCGGCGGCCCCTGCCCCGCGACTCCAGGGCTGTCTTGCTGGAACCCGCGCTCTCTCCAGCATGGTGATGGGGGGTGGGGGCAGTGGGCAGCTGGCTGGATGGCTTTGGTCGCTTCCTCCTCTCCCTCACCTAACCAAAAGGGCAAAAAACCTCAAGCATGTGAAGCAAAAAGCTGGCGGGGCAGCCCAATGAGCGGCTGCTCAGTGCTCTGTTTGTGTACCCCCTGGGCTTAGCCACTCCTCCTGCGCTGCTGCTCCTTTGGATAGAAGCCCGCAGGGGCCACTGATGGGTGCGGGACTTTGGCTGGGGGGGGGGAGAGACTGGCAGCCCTGGGAGTCCCCCTACTGTCCTCCTATTTTCTGGCAGTCCTGGCGGTGGTGGGGACGGTTCCTGTGTTGACATGAATGGACGGGTCTTGCTGCAGCAGGCCGAGCAGTGGCTGGGACGGGTATTGCCTTGGTGGGTACCTTGTGGCTCCAACAGCTTTTCCCAGCAGCCCTAGCAGTGGCATGGGCAGCAACAGAGGCAATTATTTGCTTTTTCCACAGCTCAGTAAGTACGCATGCGCAGAGAACACAGTTTTACTTTTGGGGGGATTTCTCTCTTTCCTCCCCCTACTTTTAAAAACATTTTAGATTTTTCTGAACACCTGGGGAATGCCCCAATTGTGCAGAAAAGTCTCTTTAACCTCCATGTGCCCCTGATTTATGGAAATAAGTATCCGCACGCACAGGGAACACTTGGGTATTAGTGTACAAATACAGGTCCAATTGCAAGCAAATTAAACACAGATACATACAAATTTGCGTCAGCCCAATAAAGCTGCTGTTCCTCGTAGTCTAATGTTAATCCATTGGGCCATACTAAGTTGGTGCTGACAATGGCTGTCCTGAAATTTCCTCCAAGGGTCGCTCGTTCTATTTTAGCATTGGAACTCCAATCAGTCCAGTACATGTACCTATGATAACACAATTATTAATATATTTATTTGCTTATTTATTTATTTATCTAAAGGGCATTTATTTCCCACCTTCCTGTATAAAACCAACTCTCCAGTGGAATAGGAAAAAAGTGAAACAGCAACAACAGCAATAAGACTAAAATCATCCTCAGAACAAAACATTAAAAAAACAGCAGAAAAATAAACCCAGAGCAACTGCCCCAAAACAATTCAAAACAGCAAAAAAACCTATAAGGCAGCAATAAAACCACAGATAAAACACTTCTAAGCAGAGAAAACAGCGGCTTGTATCCAACCACCTGTGCATAGCTGGCACATGGAGTTTTCCTGCATTCCCCTTCATTCCTGAAGCCCTTTCTAACCTCTACAAAGATCATTCTCAGGGGTCACAGGACCCACATGGGCAACATCGGGGGGGGGGCGGGAGTAAGGAGGTGCAAGGGAATGAAATTGCCTCATCCCTTCTGTGGTGCTGCAGGTACAGGGGAGAGAGGAGGAGCCATTTCATTCTCTTGTCCCTCCTCATTCAAAACCCTCCCACCTGTGCCATATTCCTCTGCATGGGTCCCACATTTTGTACTTCTTCACCCAAAGAGTGATTAAGACGTGGAATTCACTGCCACAGGAGGTGGTGGTGGCAACAAGCATGAACTGCTTCAAGAGGGAATTAGATAAACATATGGAACAGAGATCCATCAGTGGCTACTAGCCACAAGGTATAGATAGGAACTCTGGGGCAAGTGATGCTCTGTCTTCTTGGTGCTTGGGGGGGGGGGACAACATTGGGAGAGCTTCTAGTGTCCTGGCCCCACTGATGGACCTCCTGATGGCACCTGGTATTTTTGGCCACTGTGTGACAGTGTTGGACTGGATGGGCCATTGGCCTGATCGAACACAGGCTTCTCTTATATCCTTATGTTCTTATTAACCACTGTAGCCTTCTGAAAGAAAACAGACTTCCAAAAGTCCTGAAGAAAAGGCATACAGCAAACTTCCTCGGCCAGGGAGGAAAAGGGTACTTTGAGGTCTCCCTTATTAATGTTGATATGATGAAAGCAGAGAAACAGCAAGGAATGCAGAAGCAGACACCCCTTATTTCACAACACAATTTACGGAAAGTACTGCTTACCCTTGGCAAGGATTCAATACAATGGCCCTTGGACGTGGAACATGAGCCACCACAGAGCGATTAGATCCATCCACAGCCATTGAACTGATGGTCTGATTTAGATAGTCACTGTAATAAAGTCTCTTGTTGATCCAATCAAAGGCTATACCGTCTGGAGTTCCCGGACCTTAAGACAAGCAGAATACAAAGCACAACAAATAACTCTGCATGAAAACACTATGAATCAATCACCATAATGCGTCCAAAGGCCCTTTTGAGTGCCACAGTGGGATATTACTGGTCTATCTAAAGCTAAAAGATCACTTTTAAACACATGACAGCAGACAAAGGTATGGTAATGTGTACTTCTTAAGGCTCTTACATGACAGCATGGCTACTCCCAGCCTTGGCAACATCTACATATACTTATATTGAGTGGCCTACCCTTCATGTATGCTATTATTTTTACTACTGCTACTGCTGCTGCTGCTGCGGCTACTACTATTATTACTACTGCTGCTACTACAAGAAAGACCTGTGTCCTCCATGGTACCTTCATCTATATCCTAAACAGTCACTTAAAGAGAAGCATGATTTACAGTGCAAACCTAAGCAAAGTTATGACCTTCTAAGTACAATGAACTCAATGGACTCAGAAGGGTGCAACCCTGCTTAGGATGATACTGTTAGTGTAGTTACAGGGAGACAGAGTAATATTCTGACTGTGGAGACATTTTAAAGAGTAAAACACAGCCCAAATTATTCAAATAATCATATAGTTAAGCATTGTAACCTTGAAGAAATAGTCATGTTTACCTGATGCTACTATGGTGGGGCTACCAGTTCCAGAATAGATGTTCAGATAACTTATTTTTCCTGTGCCTGCTGGGGAACTCTGAGTGAAATATATCACATTATTCACACTATCATAGTCAAGAGCTACTGCAGTTCTTAATACAGCCACAGTTTGAAATGGAGGGCTATGATTCGCAGGATCCAGATGCAAGCTTCTAAGGGCGTTCTCCAAAGTGAAGATTAGATAGTTATCTGTCGAAATGGAGCAGCTTTTGCCATTACTATCTAGCAATCCATACGCACATCCACATTTTGGTGTTACCAGATCCGGGAGTGCAAAACACAGATGCGAACAGCCTCCATTGTCCTCCAGACATGGATTGTGGTTGACATCGGCAGGGGACTGTGACTGATAGTGACGGTTGTAAATGGTAACGTCTCTCAGCCAGTTGATGTTGTCTCTTATAACTGCTGGTGGTTCAGTATTCCCTGGCTCTTTACTAGCTTGGAAGATTTTTTTCAAATTTCTATCTACCCAAATCATAGAGTTTTCAAAAATAGCAATGCCATATGGAGTCGGGTAACGGCTGCCGTAGCGGACAATTTCTGGCTCTCCACCATCTTGTGAAATCCTTGCAATCATGTCTAAAGAATCATCCACCCAGTAAATGTAGCCATTGCTGTGATCTACTGCCAAACCACGTGGTGTAACGATGCCTTCAGAGACCAGCACAGTCCTATTGGTAGCGTCGAGAAATGCACGTTCTATCTTTGGATTCTGTCCGTAATCTGCCCAGAACAGGTATCTGTTTTGGGGGTCCACAACAATATGCCTTGGCATATCCACATTGGTTTTAAGCAGGACACGGCGATAAGTAGTGTTTAAACGTAGAACTTCTATAAATGTCTCTCTCAGGAATGCATTAGTAAAATAGAGATTTCCTGGGTTAAAAAAAAACAAAGCCAATAAAATATAGATACATTCATTTTCAAGCAGTGTTAAGCATATGCAAGACAGTACAGAAGAACAATATAGACGTTCAAATGGGAACCTGCAAAGACTTGCAGGAGGCATCTCACTTCCCCCTCTCCCACCATTTTCTCTTTCCTGAAAGCCCTCATAGTCTCTCCCCCTTTCCTGCTTCCTTCTCTCCTTCTAGGGTTGCCAGCCTCCTGGTGGGGTGTGAAGATTAGAGGTTTGCAAAAATAAATAAATTGTTTTTTCCCTGATTTGGGTCTACTGGACAAAAAAAGTATCGATATTCCCGAATTTGTGGGGTGTGAAGATTAGAGGTTTGCAAAAAAAATAATAATTGTTTTTTTCCCTGATTTGGGTCTATTGGACAAAAAAAGTATCGATATTCCTGAATACCAGTATTGGTATTTTACTGGTATGTGGGTAAATATTTGGGAAACCCGAATTTATTTGGCTCCATTATACCCTATGGGGACTGTCCCCATAGGGTATAATGGAGAGTTGACTCTGCAAGTGAAGTGATTTAAACTTTAAATGCCTTCATTTCACTTCCAGTCGGGCCGCCACAGCAGTGCAACTCCGCAGTGAAGTGAGGGGGTTTAAAGTTTTAATGCTTTCACTTCACTCCCGGAGTTGGGCCACAGTGGTGACACAACTCTGAATGAAGTGCTTTAAAGCCTTCTGGACTTTCTGAGTCGCACTGCAGCAGTGGCACGACTTGGCAAGTAGCTGTGCCCAAATAAAAGCCAAAAAATATCGGCTTTTATATCGGTGCAGCTACTTTGGTAGTTGAATACAGATCTCTGTCACTGGATATATGAACATAAATGCCTGTGCTGTTTCATTTAGGGCATCTGTCTCTATCTGTCTGACTCCCAGCTTATCTTTGTCCATGCTCCCTTGTTCTGCCCCACATCTTAGGGCTTTTGGTGTGCATAAGAGCCTGCTGATTCTGCAGTTTCCACAGGCATCAAAAACCTTAAGATGTGCTGCTGGAGCCCTGCTTATGGGGTTGGGCTGGCAGCTCCATCCAAGCCTCCTAAACAGCATTCTAGCCTTGCCTCTTTGACAAGGCTTTTGACACATGCTGGGAGCCTTGCAGGAGAACAGGGGCTTTCAGACACCAGCTGAGAAGGGTGTTCTGGTTGGTAGCTCTAAACCCTCTTGAGCAGGGCTCTTTGGCAGGGTTTCCAATTGCGAGCCGAAAAACATCCGCAGGTTAGCAGTGGCCTTTGAGTTGCAGTGCGGATGCCACGAGACTACACAAATGGCAAAATTACTATCAAGGAAAGCAGAGATCCCTCTAACGTTGACACAGAGTGCAGTCTTAACACTAGTCCATACATTCATATCCTTAAAGACCATCTCATCAATTTCTTGCACTGCAAGAAATGATGACTGACTTGGGAACAAGCCCTATTAAGATCAGTGGCAACCACTTTTGAGTAAACAGTAATGTATTATTGTTATGCATTCAAAGCTAAAATTTCCTCATTCTGATGTTAATGAATAAGTGACACTTACTATATAAAGCACAGATAGACAAAAGAACTGAAGCAACAAGAATCTCTACAAATGTGGTTTGTTATGAGAGCCCAATGGGGCAGCGAAGCAAAATGAAAGTGCCCCAAATGAGTTCAGACATCTGGCCCCTATCAAGAATAACCTTCAAGAATATATAATAACACTTTATATCAGATTCTGGGGATCCAGATTTCCTAAAAACATAAATAACACAGAAGATAAATATATATTTACTGCGCTAGAGTAGTACAAACCTGATACCCAGTCAACAGCAATGCCACGGATTCCATTGCGCCCTATCCCATCTGTGATGACATCTGTGAAATAGGAGCCATCTGGCTTGATTCTGCGTATTGCGTTTTGAGAAGGACTGCTGCTGCTGAAGTCGCACCAGTAAATGAAACCAGAAGGGATATGGACATCCACATGCAGCGCATTTCTCCCTGGAACATTTTGAAAAATATGATTCTTCATTTAATATTCCGTTTGTTGTATGTTAGTCTTACGACTGGTTATTAGACCTTCTATGAAAAGAACCCAACCATTTTCTATATGTCTGGAAGCCATCCATCAGTTGTAACTTTTGGCTCGGAAGCAGAGCTTTCTTAGAGGCAAAGTACATGTTACAATGGCCATGGGTCCAACTCATGGCCACGAACGCTAATTTTGAAAATAAAATTAGCTGTTTAATAATTCCCGACTGGGCTCTTGCTGCAGTGACATCTGGATGTCCCAAGACATCTTTGTCAGATCTCGGAAGCTAAGCAGTCTAGGGATACTATGCAGAGGCAGGCAATTGTAAACCACCTCTCTTGCCTTGAAAACCCTACTGGGTCGCAATAAATTGGCTGTGACTTTACCACATTTTACACACACACACTGTAGCATCAACTTATTTTGTTCCACTTCCCCCACACCCCTTTTTAAGAGCCTGTTGAGGGTTTCTGGGGTCCTTTTCCTGGGACCCCCTCCAGTTCCCCTGAGTTCTTTCAAAGGTTGGGTGGAGACTGGCAAGGGGCTCAATCTAGTATAAAGAGAGACAACAGTTCTTAAACAAAGTTCAACTTACTCCATTACACACTCTTAAAACAGAAAACACTTCGCAGCATTTCAATATTCAACATAGAATATTTCAACACAAACCCAGTACTTGTATAAGACTCAGAACATTCTGGACTAGCCACCAAGGTCTCACATGAAACTATTGATGGCCAGTCCCCTACCATTAGTAAACCAGAGATATATATCTTTCTTGGACCTATAGCTGCTAGCATACCGACTGACACGGTATCACGTAGGACTACCATGGATGTGACGCAGGCCCAACTAGAACTGACAAGAACTGAACCAAATTACTCCCCTCCTTTCTATCTCTGGGGTCAGGAAGCTCACAGAAATCAAGGAGAGTCAAGGAAGCTAGATTCAAATCTATCTAGATTCTGATAATGACACCACTAACTTCTGGAATGTATGAACATCCTCTAAGGCAAAATCATGTACAGGGTTATCGGTACCAGAAGGCCACAGCACCAGCAGAGTCCTGAAGCCTCCTGGGACACAGAACCAAAGATTCAACTGTACTTAAATACAGAAATTAAAGTAACATAGGTTTAACAGAGGACTGAGGCTCAATCCAGGCCCTAATTCTGCGACAGGGCCAAAACAGCCCCCCCCCCGGCTGTTTTTTCAAAAAACTAAATTTTCCTCAAAAATGATGGCAGTGGCCACAGGTTGGACCCATGGACACCATAACGTGTATTCTGGCTATTAGTCCCTCCCTTTCAGCTACACCAGCCACAGGAAGAGAATTTGCTCTGGCTCACCGATTGTCTTCACCTTCACTGCAAGAAGGTTTTATGACTGGTTTATCTGTTCAGTGGAAATTCTACTAAGCAGTGTTCCCTCTAAGCTGAGTGAGAGTGAGCTAGCTCACAGTTTTTTAGCCTCTGGCTCACACATTTTTGTCTTAGCTCATTAAGGACAGCTCCAGAGCAAACTAATTTATGCAGTAGCCAAATTGCTCACTCACAACTTTAATGCCAGTGGCTCACAAAGTAGAATTTTTGCTCACAAGACTCCACAGCTCAGAGGGAGCATTGCTACTAAGATTTATTTTATTTGGATTTGGGACTGATTCACACATGGATCTTAATCGTCATGTGTGAATGTACCATCACAGATATCAGAGACAACACCATCGGAAACAACAGTTTTGTATCAGCCAGCATCACCTCAAACACAGTATTTTGCAAGTCACTTTCACAATTCACTTAATCATCAAATAATGAGAAATCAGGTAGTGCACATGCACGTGTGAACCAGCACATTTATTTGAGCCTCGAGGTGTGATGCAGAAACAAACATCACCTCAAACACAGTATTTTGCAAGTCTCTTTCACAATTCACTTAATCATCGAATAATGAGAAATCAAGTAGTGCACATGCACGACCAGCACATTCATTTGAGCCTCGAGGTGTGATGCAGAAACAAATAATCTTTTTTTGATTCCTCCGCAGCTGACACATTTATAGAAGACAGATGACATCCTGAGATTCACAAAGTGGTCAAAGCTGCAAAAATAGGAATCAACCAGAACTAGCTGATATAATGTAGAACTGCCATGCATTTTTCACCAAACTCCATGTTTGGAGGGCAATAAGAACTGTATCACTGGATTCTGCTCTCAGTTCCCATGTTCCAACATCACCTGTTTTTCTGGATTCCAGTCAAACAACCGGTTTAACCAAAAGTACTTCTCCTCAACAGCCTTGTTTATGTCATTTTTAACTTAACAGCATGAAATCCACATGAGGGAAGTACAGCACTACCCATCCACAGCAGTAAACAGAACATTAGACATCAAAGGATTCTGCTAAGGAATGATAATCTTCACCTACCTCTTCCTGCCAAGGGGACCATTGCTTCCGAGTGGTCAGATGCTTCCAAGCTAAATCCTTTAATTGCGGACAGCATGGAGACGACAACAAAGGAATTGTACGGGGAACAGGTTCTGTTGTCAGGATTTAACTGGAAGCCAGTTGCACAAGCACAGGAGAAAAGCCCCCCAGGTAAAGGCAGGCAAAGTTGCTGACAAATCCCAACATTGTTACTGCAGCCGTTCGAGGAACCAGCAGAATCTGAAGGCGGGAGAGACAAACATAAACATGAACTGAAACTCACTGCATGTGCTACCGTTCAAGAGGACCAAAGCAAGCGAGTAAATAAATGCTGTTGCAAAGCAAGCATAAATAGATGAGTGATCCTACCCAATCCTACCACTCTACCGAGCACATTTTATTCATTTATTCATTCATTTATTTATTAAAACATTTATACCCCACCTTTCATTTTGGCTGAAGTCTGAAGTCTTCCTCCAGTCTAAGAACTCTTCCACTAACTTAAGCGGCTCTTCCATTGCAGGAAATGCGTTACAATTGCATATTCAAAAATTAAAAGGTTTTTTAAAATACTATCCTCACACTGCTAAGAGACTTACTAGGTGACCATGGGACAACCACACTCTTTTTTTTCAGCCTCACAGGGGTTTTGTGAACATAAAATGCAGAAAAGACCACCACATATGCTGGTCTGAGCTCCTAAAAGGAAGAGTAGAATAAAAGCCTGCTAACAAGAGCTAATAGTGTAGCAGAACAAAGTTTGGGTCCAGTGGCACCCTTAAGACCAATTAAGTTTTATTCAAGGTATAAATTTTTGTGTGCAAGCACACTTCCTCAGATATAGTGTAGTAGTTAAGAATCTGGGAAGACTTGTGTTCAAATCCTCCTTTACTGATGAATATTGGGAAGATTGGGAAGACCTAGGTTCAAATCCTCCTTTACTGTTGAAGCTCACAGAGTTAACTTAAGCAATCACTCTCTCTAGCCTAACTAGGGATGTGCATTTGGTTCGGCCGAACTGAAAAAAAAACCCCGTATAATGTCTACAGCATTATTCGGGCTCCCTAGAAGCCGAATCAGAGATCCAAGGCAATTTGCCTTCCCTTCAATGATGGGAACCTGCTGCCCTGGCAGTAATGGGGGGGGGAGGATTATTATACCCTATGGGGATGATCCCCGTAGGGTATAACTGCACCGGATCCATTCGGCAGTACCGATAATTCCTGAAGCCCAGTATCTTGCCGATACTGGGATTCAGGAATATTGGCAAATACCAATATTTTTCGGGTTTGATATATATTAGGTGCATACCCCTAAGCCTAACCTGCCCCACAGGATTGTTGTGGGGATAAAATGCAGGAGAGACAACCAATGTTGAAAGATGTTTTTGGTCTTCCCTGGGGAGAAAAACAAGGTATAGACATCTAACTATATAAATGCCTCAGCTATGAGCAACCAGCAAAACCTAAATGCTGGTAATTTTGATAAACAGTGCAGATAATTTTCCATAGTGATAAATAAATGTTGTGTACATTTAAAAAATGGTATGAATTACTGAATACCAAATAGTTTGTTTGAACTTTTTACTGGTAATGAATGACCTGGAATTTATATTTTCCTGTATAAATTAATAAATAAGTTGCCACCTTTAAGATCTGAGGCCTTCCTGAAGCAGAAACATGGCTATGAAATTCTCCTCCATGCTAGTTCTATCGAAGTTTTTAAAAGACGGGAGGAATCCCACTTTTTCAGAATGGCTTTTGGTTCTTTGGCTCAGAACAGAACTACAACTCCTTCTCCTGATTTTGTATTAGGATGCCACAGTTAGCCTGATGCTGAAGGAACAGGAATTTAACCCTTTCTCTGTGCCCTAAAACTATCATAGGTCACATCAAATACTCACTGTCACGATAATAAACTCGGAGGCATTTCAGTCTTGAAATGTTGTCTCTCAGCACCACTTTATTTGCTCCAGTGGACTTGTCAACCCGCTCGATTACTTCATAATCACGGTCAGTGTAGTACAGAAAAGACCCATAGACAGCCACACCCCAGGGATGAGAAAGGTGAAAAACCAGGGTCATCCTGTTTGTGCCATCCACATTCCCTCGTTCAATCTGGGAAATAAGATTTAATATCTCTTACAAATTCAAGTCAGCTATCCACATGCAAGACTGTATCTTTAAGGAGAGCCAGTTTGGTGTAGTGGTTAAGTGCGCGGACTCTAATCTGGGAGAACCGGGTTTGATTCCCCACTCCTCCACTTGCAGCTGCTGATGTGACCTTGGGTCAGTCGCAAGCTCTGGCACAGCTGTCCTTGAAAAAGAGCAGTTTGTGTCAGAGTTCTCTCAGCCCCATCCACCTCACAGGGTGTCTGTTATGGGGAGGGGAAGGGAAAGGAGTTTGTAAGCCGCTCTGAGACTCCAAGTGAAGGGCGGGGTATAAATCCAATCTCTTCTTCTCTTCTTCTTCTTTAAAACTACACACCTTAGTTTCATTTTTGTATTATGGCGGCTTTTAAGGTTTTAATTTAGGGCTGTATTTTATTATTTATAGTTCACCTTTCTCACTGAGACTTATGGCAGATTATACAGTGTAAATCAATGCAATCAATAGGATGAGACATCTAATAAGCAAGCCGCCCTGAGCCGGCCTCGGCCGGGAGGGCGGGGTAGAAATTCAAAGTATAAATAATAAATAAAAATTCTACAGCCGCCAGGCGGGCAATGCGGTCTGTCCCATTACCTTCGACCTGATCGCATTTC